GTCCAGGGTAAAAAATTAACCTAGTTCCACACCGGCAAAGCAAAAATCTAAGCATTCGGCAAGGCGCACGTGTATATGAAACGCAAGTCACTTGGTCGTAACCTGAATTTTCTCTTTCACTCTCTCGGATTCCAGACGCGCGCGATTTCGCTCTTTCTCTTCACGACTTACTACTACGGTGAGAGGGTGCGAGATTGATTAGATCTGATAAGATGTATAATTCTGCTCGTTTCATAGCTGGGGTGACTGCGAAAGATGAGAAAATGAAGGCTTTTTCGGGGGAAAAAGCCATGCGAATGGCCACTTCAGTTGAAATGTGGCGATGTCGGTAATAGCCATATTCTTTTGATATTACTTAGCGTTGTTGTATTATTTGGGGAGGGCAAAGTCACACGTGGAAAAATTTCATCGTAAAAATCCTCGCCTCGACCGAATGCGTTATTCGTTCCCAAACTAGGATAACTAGATCAGACACTGACCATGACGTTTTCCTTGAATTCATAACGGAAGGCTGTTAATTATTCCCCGAACGATCAAACTAATTTTACGTCGTAGCATGCACGCGTGAAAAAAGTCTAACGAGCTCTCATTTACCAACAACGGCAATTAATCTGCCAATTATCCAAACGCTGTTTTGTTGCAAACCCGGAATCGCTTTTTCAACAAAAGGTTTAAATAAAAAATAAGGAAAAGAAAAGCAGAGTCGAACGGAGTCAGCTAGCGGTGAATCAATGGGTGATTAACTTGGAGCGAGCGTGAACACGTGGTCAGTGGCTTTTACATTGCACGCGTGCGAGATCGCGTGAAAGATACCAACTTTCGATAAGTGCACACCCGGTGGAAATTGCACGAGTTTCTTCATTGCATCTGGAGAAACAGGAGAAGAAAGAAAATCTAATGATATTATATGGTTAGGCCACGAGAGAAACCATAGTGAGAAGCGCCTTAACTCGTCCCCTTTCGACAACGGGAGAGAAGTCAAGCTGGTAGATGGAAGGAGGGAGACACACACAGGCACCGCGTATAGTCCCTCTCTTTCTTTCAAGTAAAGGCGAATGAAAATGTCTGGCCGATGCACGCCGCAAGAGTTGTTGACCGCTACGTATGTGGGGGAGGGGGGGCCACCAGAGTCGCACGATGACCAGGTATCCCATTGTATTAAAGGCGAGGGAGTCGGGTTGATCATTTCTTTTTTTTTGCACGTGCGATTGGTAGTTCAGGCAGGTATGTGTCGCGAAATAGGTTTAATGAAGGACATTCTTTTTTTTCATGGGCACAGGTGTATGTACACACGTGCTTGCGAAGAATGATAATGTTAATGGCTTCAGTACGTTAATTCTAGATAATTTTGTTACCATGTTTTCACTTATGTTTTTTATGCACAATAAGGAATATGTGTATATATATATATATATATATATATATATATATATATATATATATATATATATATATATATATATATATACGTTTTTTTATAATACATCAAAACTATAGCCGATTAACATCTAAGATTTAGTTTTCTGCCAATGCTAATGAAACATTTACAGATTTAATTAGATTTTCGCATTCTCTACCATATTAATACAATATCGAAAGCAAATCGATAATGTCAATGGAACATCTAGAGCGAGCCACCAATACTGACCGTCTCTGCAATCTCCCAACCTGTAATTTTACGTATCGCATCTGATTTTCTTACGCATCGAAGAAATTTCCTCGGCGCTGATTACTTCGACATTCATCGCGTGTATGAAATCTGAGCGAACCATCAAGGAGCTTTGAGAGAGAAGAAAAAAAAAAGAAGAAGAAACTCTTGAATCCTTACACGTTCCTCTCGTGCTCTCGCGAGTGCACTTATCGTTTTATCGAACAATTTCATTTTCCCTCTCTGCAAAGAAAAAGAATCGTGCACGTCGTTGAAAAACCTTTCATTACCCGATCGCATGCGATCTATCGAGAACGGGAGGGAGGCGGGGAAAGGACGCGCATAACGCGTGTGGGTCAACGTCTTCCGATAGTTTCCTGCGCGTTGTATAGCCGGTAGGCAGCGGCAAGCAAGCCCTCCCCTTAATTATACCGGCGAGTCGTCGGCGCAGCTCCTTTTTGCGAGCGCGCGAGCACAGCCTTCCGAGAATGATTGTGTACCTTTAAAAGCCGCGGCCGCTCTTCGCCGAATGGCATGGCTAGTCGAGGGGGCTTCTCTTGACGCACCCTTTTTTTCCATCATTCGCGCTGTGTTGTGTGAGTTTGCTTTTCGGGAAGGGGGAGGGATTAGCTTTTTTTCACACGATCTCTCTCTCTCTCTCTCTCTCTTTGCTGCGTGCCAACTTTGTTTGCGAGATTACGTGCTTCGCTTGTAATAAGGTTTGAATTCTTTTTTTGGCAACGAGAAAAATGAATTAAATCCACAGATACGTCGTAAAAATATGAGATCTGTGTTTTTAGATCCGGGGAGCCAAATCATCGATTGAAAAGTTGTCGTCAGACGGCACACACATAATCTGACGCGATCAAGGGGGCGACTTGACGCAGCTGGAAAGATAATGACGAAACAACCATCAGCACGCGACGACGGCGAGGAATGTCACTGCCCTCGCGCAGGTGAACATAAAATGCGAAGGTTAGGATTTGCCTATACGACACATAGCGAACCTTTCTCTTTCTCATTATGAGCCGCCGCTCTCGTATACCCCCGTCATCGTCGCTCGCACGCGCTCTCTAATCGGCGAATCATTCACGCGTGCACGCACGCCACTCATCGCTCGCAAGCACAAAATTCTTTGTGAATGAAACATGACGTCAACGTGCATTTGTTTACATTTTTTGTTTTTTTTTTTTTTGCTCTCTCGAAATGAGGATAAGTGACTGGTACGTCGCGCGATTCTCACCTGGTGGAGTGTCGCTGACAAGCCCTTTTGCGCGTGCGAATCAATAAAAGGGACCGCAATTGCCAAAAAGGAAGCCGACAAGCCGCATGATCATCCCTTGCTCGGTATACTTTTAGGTTAATATTACACCGTGTGCCTATACGACGCACAATAGCTACATACGAGAACTGCGAACAACACACTTCTGCACCACATGCAGCAGCGGTGGCGGTGGCAACAGCAGCAGCAGCAGCAGCACAACCTGTTCTATCGACACTCGCGCCAACGACTGTACGTGCACTCGCGTATGGTGTTGGCTCGGCAGCGGCCGAGGCTCGAATGCGCACCGTGCGCTGCGCGGATAGTTGTAGACAAGCGTGCGATGGTGCTTGGCACGCGGGGCGCTATGCCGCGAGAGGGGGGTGGGAGAGTCGCGCGAGTGGCGACGGCTGCGGCGGTGCAGCTGCACGCGCGCGCGCGCCTCTCTCTCCTTCAAGGACTCGAGATGCTGCTGCTTCTTCTTCTTCTTCCTTTGTTCCAATTTGCTACATTCCATCCAGGACTTGGTCCTTAAGATCGCGCGTCGTGTGTGCGTTCGATGATGTTCTCGAGTACGAGCGAACGGCAGCTTGGCATCTTCGGCGAGCGTTGCAACGGATGGTCATAGTGAACGAACGAGAGATATTACAAAACGTACGCGTAGGTAGCGGAAAACTCATTCCCCTTCACTATTACGGAGAGTTGAGCTCAAGAGGAGAGGGTCACGCTTCGGCAGTAGTTACCGCCGTGAGGGAAAACAGCTGGGGTTTTATCGCGCGCATGTTACGTATATATGTAGCGCTGTTTTTTGAACTCGCGCCAGCTAGTCGTTAACAAGGCATTGCTTAGGACATCTGTACGTGGAAGCTAGAGTTGGAAGTGTAGCGGGTGTCGATAAGAGAGGTGATTTTAGGTGCGTTTTTCGGTATTTGTTCGTAATGAATTACTATATTTTTATTGAAAGTAAATCAATATATATAATTCCACATATGCAGTAGAATGAGGTAATAACTATCACATACTGCGATTTGAAGTGGCATCCAAGTAGAAATATAAAATTAATTTCTTATCCTCATCGAAAACTAATGAGATAGTAAAAATCGTATAAAGACTTTGATCTTAATGTTTTCACTTGTCTCACGAGATAAATGCTGTTTATTTACTTATCACTTAATTAAGATTATAAATGAACTACAACTCTGTACAATTAACGGATTAGCTTAACAAATAATATCGTCGTAATGGAAATATGCCAAAAAAACGCGAATTTAGAAATTAAGTAGTAAAAGCCGGTATCGTCAGGCAACGCGCAACGGTATACTTAGCCGAAAACAACTGGCCTAACCATCGTATACTAAAAGCACTATGCTCTACAAACTCTATCATTCTAAGTAAGGTCAGCAAGTCGACTTGATGATTAAATAATTGAAGAGAGCGCATGCTTCATGACCGGCTTTCATAAGCGGCGGAAATGAGATCAGCCCACGTGTACTTCGAGATATTACATCGGAATGGCATACGCTCTCTTGTTATACTTATCATCCACTGTCCGCGTGATGAAGTTTGAAGTATCAGTTTTTTAGCTCATGTGGACTTGTCATACGAACGCTTTGTATTGAGATTGACCTCAAGTTTTATTGATGTATGCTACGTGTTGTTGGCTATGATTAATTTTTATAAGCAAGCACGATTTTTTTTTTTAATATGTTTCTGTTGTACTCTTTTTTTTCTCTTTGTTACGATGATTAATGCTCTGTTTATACTACTGATCAGCCTGACCTAATCAACTTTTACTACTGATTACCGTATCTTATCGTCGCTGCTAATTGACTTTGTTCAAATATGACAAATTAATTGGTAGTCAAATAAGTTTACCGGGTGGCACTTAAATAAAGCCGTTACGGATTGATAAAAATAAAAAAAATTTGTATAAACACAGCTGTAGATATGAAAAGTTCTCTGATAATATTTTGATAAAAGCGTGCGCCTGTCTACTGCCTTGTTTACATACAATGCGCCAATGCATTTACACGAATACAAATGTATAACCCTAACCTCAATTCCACAATGGTTGCGCAATATCGACGGGGATGCAAATTTTTTTCATTCGAACGGGGATAAATACGAATTTTTTTGAATAGAGAATTATCGCGATTGTTCAGTTTTTCGCGAAGAACTAAACCGAAATGACCACTCATAAAGTTGGAGAATTTGTCAGAGCTGTTTTCGAGCAGACGATAAAGTCTAATTGCTTCGGAAAATGTTTGAAAAATGTTAGTGTTTATAGTGATTGAGAAACTTTGTTTTGCCATTAAATTCAACGTTTGTGCGAATATAGATAATTTATGTTAACCTTTTTTCAAGTTAGTCTAGAGTGACATGCATATTTTATGTCAAGAACATTATATTAAGCCAGTTGCATTATAGGTTAATGCTTACAGAAAGATTTTAAATTTAATTAGTAAAATTTAACTGATTTTAGGTAAGCTTGATACACGCAGAGGGAGGAAAATGTAAAGCAGAATTAAAAATAGATGAAGAGCACTTGAACTATGGGGGATCTTTGCATGGAGGATTTACAAGTACTTTAGTTGATTGTATCTCAACGTATGCTCTCATGAGTCACAAAAATGGTGCACCTGGAGTATCCGTAGATTTGCATGTTACGTAAGTATCTATAATAAAATATACAATAATCTTCACTCAATCATTTTATTGAAAAATCTAACTAATCATAAATGGCACAGATTTTTAAAAGCAGCATTTCCTGGAGATGTGATATCTATCGATGCAAAAACTATTAAAGCAGGTCGTACATTGGCATTTCTAGAAGTAGAACTGTCTAAGAAAGACAATGGAGTGCTTATAGCACGTGGTGTACATACAAAGTTCATCGGTGGCTAGTACTTTATGTGATTACATAGCATAATGTAAAGCGTTCAAAGTCTTCGCTTATGTACATATATATGTTGTAATAGGTGCAATAATTAATTTATTATCTATTTATATAAAATTATTATAAAATTAATTTGATACTTCTCTTTTTTCACCTCACTTATAAAAATTAAAATAAAGACTTAATGTTTAAGAGAGAAATGATATGGCAGTACAGAGATACATAAGATTTACAGCAATCTCAACATGACAAAAATCACAATTGATGAATAAATTTAGGTCCCACTTTTCACCTCTTCAAGCAAATGCTTCATCTCCTTTATTCTCTTATTAAGGTTCCTTATCACTCTGTGGACTTTCGTATACTCATCATAAGTATCTTGAAGCATATCTTCAAGATATTTCACTTTATCGTGTTGTAAACCAGGTCGATTAGCTTCAGCAGAATATTTCATTGTACTTCTTCTTGTTCTCGTAACAGTATTGCTTTCTTCGTCTTGTATCACTAAACATTCCTCGCAGCATTCGGACCATAATTTCAAATCCAATGAGGGAAGCTCGTCGCACGAGATAAAGTTATTATTTTCATCAGGTAGAATAAACACATTAGGTTGGATTCTCGTGATATTATCACTGTTATCACAAAGTACTCTTGCAAGACTGACTTTCTTGAGTTCTTCGAGCTGTTCTTCGCGGAAAATACCAGGCTTGTCGTACCAGAACCTATCACCATCGCGCATTCGCTGGAATTGCTCCGATAACAGACACTTAAACAATGGACCAACTTTGGCATCTGGTAATTGATCTTCCAGAATACCTCCAACCCATACGTCAATATTACCAGGATGTCCGTACAATTCTTTCAATTTTTCTCTTACTTTAAAGCTATTGATTTCGTCGGCAAGGTCGTCGAAAGTCTCCACGTGCGACATGTTACACCATCTGCGAAAATCTACGTAAGGTGGTATCGCGTGATCTCTTCCTCTTTGAATATTCATTGCTGCCAAATCCAACGCCACAGCGTGAGCTGTTCGGAACAATTGCTCCGTCAATTCGTTGTTGACGTTCTGATCTGGCCTCTTGAGTTTTGCTGGAGTAACGAACATTCCTCTCAACAGTGGATCTGTACCACCTTCTTCTACAAGCCTCCACGGTGCGAAAAATGCATCTCTTAAATGCAAAGGTCCTTGAGGTATAGATTGTAAGTCTTCGTCAAGACGCTCGAGTTTTGGTTGAATAAGCGAGTGACCAAAGCGTAACGCTGCAGTAGCGAAAACATTTGCGATGCTTGCGTCTAAATTTTTATCGTAGCCACGATACGGGCCCAAAAGTTCATCCGAAGAAACTCCGAATATACGAGGAATCCAATCTCTGTATGTTATTATTTGCATCTGAAATCGATCGTATGAAAATTAATCTTTCAATTCACTCCCCTTTAGCTTAAATAGAAATTCTTATCTCACCATAGCACCGACAATCTTTCTCGTCTCTTGATACAACTTCTCGCCACTCCAGTGCGGATTAATCAATCGTAATCTTCTCGCGATCCTATTGTGTTCCCTCATCCAAATCGTGTGCATAACAGTCAACCCAATCTGCTCGTTGACTCGGAAATCACCGGCGAGAAAACAATTGATCGTGCTTTCAGTCAAATTTCGTCGACAGTCTATAAATTGACCATTGACGTATGGCAATAGAGCTTTGTGTCCTGGAAATGTTGGCCCTTCGCGTAGCAAGCCACGATCGTTCGTCAGGTCGCGAAGCTCTCTTGCTGTTTTGTCATCGTAGCCGTAAACTTGAGAAGCGTCGAGATAAGATGTCAGCTGGTTGAGTTGCTCGCGAGGCATTAGTTTTCCGACGAATACACTTGTCATGCCGGAGCCTTAAAAGATATAGAAAAGCAAAATTAAACATTTGTTGAAGTAAATTTGTAAAATATTCCAATGTATGTACTTACCGCAAACCGCACTAGTCCTAAAGAAATCCATGCACCTCCTATTTGTAATCCTGTGATCACCAGGCGGTACATCCATGGGGAAACAAGGCGCAGCATTGTCGCAAGTCTTTTTACAATCAATTCCACCCCAAGACTCACTAGAAACTGCAGGCAAAGCATGATCGAAATCGTGATCGATCCATTGTCCCCATTGCATCACCATGTGCGTGATCGTCTCATCCATCGTGATATCTTCCGTTGCAATCATAGTCCGCGAGACGAGTCGCGCAGCTGGCTTGGGATGGCCATAGTACAATTTCGATTTGTCCCAACCGATTGGTTGCGAAAAGCCGTTCTCGTACATGGGATGTAAGATCCGTCGGAAACCGGTATACGACGAGCCCCAAGTTGGATTGTCCAGATTGTTACATTTGCCGTCCATCGTGCGATAACGATTGTGATAACACAGGTTTAGACACTCGTCGTTACGCCGATGAAACGTACAGCCGGACAAACGTTCCAGTTCGGCTACCTGTTGCACGAGAAATCAATTCCAAGTGTGTTCTCGCAATGTCATGCGTGAAAAGAAAACAAAGTGCCAACCTGCTCGGCAGTCAGAATCTCCTCGTAATGATAATCATCCGTGGCATTGGCGACCATCCCGTCATCGATCATCCGTCTTACGTGTATCAACGTTCTCTCGAACAATTCGGCTGGACGAGCGTTCTGTCGGCCGATGGCGTCGGGAAAGCGAGCCAATTGGAACGGATTGACGCGCGCTCGAGGATTGAACAGTTGCCGAAGAGTGTTGTTGATGGCGCGATCGATGTCGCGAGTCGCTTCGTTGAATGCGCGTAACACGATGCCGTTGCTCGCCGTCGACCTCGTGCGCACGCGGACGAGTGCCGAGGCTGTCGCTCGGCCGTGCTCGTTCACCGCTGAGCATTCGTATCTGCGAGGAATCGAAAGCCATCGCGCGCATTCTCAAGACAAATCACATTTGCGCGTCTCATTCGACGGGACTCACCTGCCCGTGTCTTGCGTAGTGACGTTGTACAGGTACAAGCTGCCCCACTTCGACAGCCTCGTTCTATTTCCCGCCACGGCGGTGCCGTCCTTCTTCCAGCTCATACGAGGGGTCGGATCTCCCTCGGCTCTGCACGGCAGTTCGACGATCGCGTTCAGCTCCACTTCCATATTCTGAGGCTCGTACACCAATCTCGGCGGTTTGTATTCCTCGCCGACGACGTTCAAATCCGCACTGGTCTCGGCGAAGCCCTGATTGTTATGCGCTTGACAGATATAGCGCGCTGAATCGGATTCTTTGGCAGCGATGATTTTCAAGCTGCTGCCATTGTCTTCGATATAGGTGCGCTGCTGAGGATGGATTTGCGAACCGTCGCGCCACCATTCGATTCGCGTTGTTGGCTGACCCTCTGCTCGGCAGACCAAGACTACGTCGGTGCCGGCGCGAACCTGCAATTTTCGAAAATAGTTTAGAATTTTTAGTTTATCGCTACTTTCCAGGTTATCGCTATGGTTTCATTTTGTTTAGTGTCGTGTGTCAATTGGCAGTTCTCCAAAGCTGTGTGATTTTCATGACTTTGCCAGTGCATAGTTTAGTTTATGCGCTTCATTCCTTCCAAGATTTTACTGCCAAAACATGTATAAATCTTATTCAAACATATTACGGGAAGTCGCGTGGGCGAACGATGAGTCTTTACTTTCCGAGAACAGAAAAACATTATTTATTTAACGGTAAATCGTACAAACATTAAAGTGAAAAGCGCCGCTTTAACCAAGTCATTTTTACGTATTTACACGTGCGACTTTTATTCAACATCGTACGTAATTGTGAAACGACTAAAATACGTGCGCAAAATAACTTTGCACCAGTATTATGTGAATAATAATGCGAACGAGGAGTGTGCGGCGCGTGGGGTCCGCGCGCAATTTCCGAGATAATAGCAACAATCGAGCGCCAAGAGAAAGTAACGATAAGATCGCTCCCTTGTCGTTACATTGTATTGTATCTAGCCGTGGTATTAGACACGCTATCTACTGGTATTATGGCTATGAATCTTAACTGTCCCAAAAAATTGCGTAATTGGCGGCTTTTACAAAATTAAATTTTGATATGAACGAGATGGAAGAAACTAATGAAAAGCAATGCCAATTAAAACTGCGTCTGCATTTCGTAAATAGAAGGTTCCATTTTCATCCTGAATTTTTCTGAGCTACTTCCATAACATAGTTCAATAACATCATATTTTCAAATCTCCCCCCCCCCCCCCCCCCACTCCTTCTCACTCGTAAGAAATTAATAGGCCACGCTCGCCCGACGACAGCTACGTCCGACGTTTCAATCGTCAGTCTCAGCACGACACAGTTCCACTATCAACATCTCTTAGCTTCAGTCTTCCAGCGTCGTAAGAAAAAATAGAAAGAAAGAATTACCGTTTGTGAAGCTGGAATCTCCAGGAAAGTCGGCGCGGAAGTAACCACGAGTGTCCTTGCGCCTCTTGATTTCGTCTCACCCATGTTGTTGTGGGCGACACACTCGTACTCGCCAGCATCGTCTTCGCTAACGTCATTGATGACAAGACTACCGTCCTCTTTGACGAAATAACGTTCGCCGTCAGTCGACACTTCGTTAGAGTCTCGCATCCATTTGACAATTGGCTGTGGTTCGCCGGTCACACGACAGCGAAATACGGCCGTCTGGCCGAGTTTCACTTCCACATCCTCGGGGCCCTCCATGATGATCGGTTGGCCTGTAAATGATAACGACGAGATTAATGTAGGTTCAACTAAACGCGCTTTGGTGTTCACGGACACCGAAATAACTCAACTGCAATGAAAATCATCGAGCGACATGTTGTCCAACCTCTTGCCCTTCATTTCGCTGGGCCCTTGACAAACGGCAGCCATCTCCATCCTCTCCTTCATGTCCTTAACCAGCCAGAGCAGCTCGCAATCGCAAATCAACGCGTTGCTATCCAATCTGAGTCTCGTCATGCGACCGATATTTCTGAAGGCGTCAGCAGGCAGCCTCTCCAGTCTGTTATTCTGCATGTACAGTCTCTCCAAGTTGGGTAAATTACTGAAGGTATCGGGCAGAATTTTGCGCAAACGATTGACGTGCAGATAGAGTTGCTCGAGTCGGGGCAAGTTCGCGAACGCCCCGGGCTCGATTGTCTCCAGGCTGTTTTTGAAGAGATAAAGGAAGCGCAGATTCGGCGTTCCTTCGAAAACATGGGACGGCAGATGACGCAAGTGATTGTCGTTGAGCAGGAGGGTGTGCAGCTCGCGTAAATTGTGAAAATCGCTCGGATGCAGCTCCACGATGTTGTTGTAGCGTAAATCACTGTTGGACGATTAATGCACGCTTCAGTGGCCAGATTTACGTCTTCGCGAAATGACGGATAGTCCTCAGATGCGTGCACACCAAATTACGAGCACGCAACGGTAAAGCCAATTTTTCCAAATGTCGCCGCGATCTTATCAATGCAGAACGCTTGTCTTGGTGCCGCGAACAATGAACATCTTACTTTTAAAAAAATCACTAGTGTACCTGTATCGCGTTATAATTGAATCGATGCATGCACCAACAAAATGATCAATTAGCGTTGACCGACAATCGATAACACATCGAAAACTGAACTGAAATTCGTGCAATACAGAGAGCCGCACGCTGCTGCGGCGCATTCGCGTTTAATCAAGTTGGCCGCGACGCGCGGGGGTTAATATCATTAATGAATTTTGCCACGCACATCCATGGCCGCGACGTACCATTCGAACCAATTAATTTTGATCGTTTAATTGCACAAAGTATTTGCTCTGTTAACTGCTAAAATATGCAGGTCGTCCGTTGTCGTGCTGACATCAAAGCATCGATGCTTGATGCCAGCGCTTATATCAGTCCGCATTATCTGCCTCGTCGCTCGTCAGACGTATAATAATTAATAACCGGCATTAATTGGCTTTCGGAGTGCAATTTCAGACTGGCGATCATCGTCCGAGACAAGCGAATCAGCCTCGCACAAGCGCGCGTCCACGAAGTTTTTACAAGCGCAGGCGTGCGCGATCGAGGCGTTATTTTCGTGCGAGTCCCGTTTGTATCTCGACGGAAATAGCACTACAGTTTTTACGGGCGCGGCAGGCGCGTTAATCGCACGCGCCCGCGAACAGCGAGGGTGAAACGTGCCTATTTCGAAATTGTTCTTGGAATGTCGGGAGACAAGCGAAAGCGAGCAAGTATCGATGTTACTTTATCGTTATTGGTGTGCGGTCGACGACGAAAAAAGTTGCTGAATTATACGGTGATTCGGAATGAGAAAATCAAAATTGGGTACCAAGTGATATCAATCGCATTTTCGTCAAGTCGGTCTATCGGAATGTCGATTGCCGGTAGTCAACTCAGTCAATCAAATAATTAATTAATCAAGGAAGAAGGTTTCATTTAAATTTTTATTACACTTTTTATTAAAAAAAAGAGTACTATTGATTGGCAATATCGAGTAATTGATTTAACATTCAAATTTACGCTGAGTTATCAGTTCTTTGGTCTTGCAATCTTCCAACGAGGAAGCACTTGCAATCGAAACAATTCAAAACATACCATTTATAAAGTACCCCAAAAATAATTCCACGATCGATTGCCAGAGAATTCAAGAGAAGCGAGAGCCCTCCATCTCTCATTGGAGCGCACAAGTTGGAATACCAGGAGATCTCGGAAAACCAAAACCTCGGACCTCTACATTGCTTACGAGATAATAGGACATGCCAATCAGTCGGAGCAAGATCCTCCTATTCTCTGCCGCGCATCTTCGGCGTGACGAGAGTGCCTGCATATAGACTGCACGCTCGTAGCGCGTGTTTATTACGTCCGCGGCTCGCCAAGAATTTTGAATTTTCATCGTTTCGCGTTCATGTTTTCGTGTGTTCGGTCGCTCAGCACTTTTCGCGCATCGAATTTTCTGAAGGCACGGCATTTCGCGCAGACGTTCGAGTTTACCTACACTATTTTCGCGCGCGCCCTCGCTACTCTTGCAATGGAATATTCATCGAACGAATTAAAAGTTTGGAAGAGGGCATAAGAATATTTGGCAATAAAGTTTTCTTTTAGCGCGGCGGGGAATAGGACAAAGTCAGGCAGCAGCGAAACTTGCCGTGGAATTATGCTGATTCGACAACACTGTGTTTGGTGAATGTTTAATCAGTTTACGCTCGGTGTTAGATTCTACGTACAAGAAGTTGCCCGTTCGTATTTGAATTTCCGCAGTAACTTTTTTCTCTTTTCTCTTTGTTATGCTAAATAATCACTTCGCGCAAGATCTACGGTGAATCATTTCGGGAAAAAGGAGGCGTTCCATATGTAGTTCGCTTATCTTTTACAAATAATCTGCGATCACGTGACTGCGCGACTTTATTTAAAGAATTAAGCTCTGGAGGCTCGGCTTTTTAATGAATAAATTGAGATGATGAGGGATTCGACAAAAAAAGAGATGAGAAGTCATTCGAGAGATGAAGCGTTTCTTGCATCGTAAAGCTATGAGTTTACGAGCGACGCACCAGCGAATCATTTGGAGAGTTAGAGCGTTAAACTTTAGCGCTGAAATAAGCGAAGTCAATTTCGTTTCAGTTGGCTCTCTCTCTCTCTCTTTTTCTCTTACTCAATCTATCGTATAGAAACCCCCTCCGATTTATAGCGAATTTTTGACTTCAAGACTTTAAGTGATATGGCGATATTCAGAATTTATTATTAGCGTTTAGCAGGTTAATTTTTTGTCATTGCGCTTTTCGAAGTTCTTTCAGATTGTACTTTCTTTATTTCGAAATTTAATTTTTATTTCTCTTGCGCGCAAATTATAATTTAAAAAAAATCGTCTTGTCAATCTCGAAATTAAATGACGCGTGGAAATAAGAAGTTGCAAGCCTCGGTAAAAGACGAGAGATCGTTCAAAAGCTATTTTCAAATAAGCAAAACTGCAATCATAACTCACATTAATTAACGCAATAATTATACATTCGATTATCGTACAACCTCGAGAGACGCGAAAGAAATAAAAATATCACTAACTGATGCTTCTCTCCCTCTGATTTTTTTATTTTACAGTGTCCGATAGCCGATCATCAATCAACTGACAGAAAGCTGCTATACTGCAGGCAGCAATATTGTTTTGATTATTGAATAGAGAAATACCTCAAGAGCGTAGTCACGCGCTATGCATTTGAAGTTTATTCAACGCGGCAGACGTCAGGCAAGTATCTCGTGACAAATATATTTTCATAATAAACCGCTGGAAACGGGGGGAGGGGGGAGAGATGAAATATATAAACTCATTTTTAGGTCAGACTGAACTTGACTGACATATTATAGCGATGAACATGGTAATTTCTCATCGAGAAATGCTCAATGCAATCGTCTTCATTATACATGTCAATGGATAATATCTAAGTTTAAATATTTATTGATATAGCTATCGATATATCTACATGTACACGCTGTCTAGATGAAAATATATCATTCCCGTCAGCCGTTTCTTTTTATATACGTCAATAATATTCCCGATAATGAAGTAGGCAAACATGTGCATGTACGTGCATTGATCGTGATATTGAAAGCGCCAAAAATGGACCGGCGAATCGTCGTATCGCCTTTCTTCCAATGTCACGCGCTCCATTTTTTTTCTTGTCTTCGTCGAAAATCAACAATGAATCATCCGCGCGAAACGCAAATTGTCACACCTATACGTATCCGCTGCGAATATTTCTAGTTTTATTTTTTATTTTTCTTGCAGCACGACGCCGGCAAAAGATACAGATAGCCCCGTCAGTATGGCATATCTCGATCGTAGCGGCATATCGTTCGCATAGTTTTCATTGCGTCCGTGCGTATATGTGGATGCACTAGGAAGAAGCCGAGCCCACGCGTTTCGCAACGGATGTCATTCTGTGAGCGAGAGAACTATTCCGAGATTTATGCGATTTCGTTCGCTTATTTTTTCTTTTTCAAATCTATTTGGAAATTGAATGGCAACGTATTGTTATGCAAATATTATTCAATTTAAGCTTGAATATTTGAACAGTCAATCGACAAGTGGACGCTTAACGATAATTCACGGCAATTGGTACACACACACACACATATATATATACAAAAAAGACTCACAGCACATTGGTATCGACCGGAACTTTCGGTACCCGAGTCATTCTCTGGAACACACATCTGATAGTTTTCGGCGTGGTGCACGTACATTTAGCTGGGCAATCATCCGCCGCGGCAATCTGCGCGATCGCCAACGCGACTGAAAGCAAAGTCAACACTGTTAGCGTCGTCTTCATGATGCGCTACTGAACTTCGACGACGTTGCGGAGAACCGACGAGCGTGCGAGGCAGTCCACTGCTGCCGGCAGCTCGTCGCCAGTGAGACTGAATAAACCGCGCGCGCGAACTCGGTGCAGCGTTGGATAGAAAACGAGGGGGAGCGCACGCGTCGCTCGGCTCCTCTTCCTTTTCGTTTCTTTCGTGGACGCGCGGTGGGCGAACGCTTTGACTTCGGCCTTTTTTGGAAGTCATCTTTTACTTTCGGTCTCTACGCTGATGAATCGATTATGGCGACGAGACGATTATGTCACCGCTTCGTGTTTTTTCATCGAGCTCGGGAGTGAGTCGCGTCTGGGTATTTTGAGAGGGGTTGACAGATGCTGCTTTGGGAACTTGCTTCACGAAGTCATATCGATATCCCAGAAATTCTAGTGCACAGCAAATTATTTGCATATTCGATAATTTAGTTTGCGAGTAAATTCAATTACGTTGGCAAAACGCTACGTCTGTATTGTTGCGGATATTCTAATCCAAGATTTAATTAAAAACAATGTCTAGCGCGCGCGAGCCTTTCGTTTCGACGGAAAAAAATTTTTATTTCCTCCGTGAGCTTTCGCAATAGAAATAACAGATGAGAATTTTAATTGCATAAAAAAAGTGTGAAAAGGCAAACATGTTCATACAGAGAAAAGTTTCTCGTCAAAATGAGTTTCACCTCAACCAAACTCGCCTGCAAAGAAGGTTTCTATCGCACGAAATCGATACTTTTAATTAAAGTTTCGCATAAAGAGAGAATCTTTTTAACCGAGTTCTGGGGAAAAAGATACATTTCAATATCGAAGAGCGATGCTCGATGATTTTTGCGGCATGAAATTCAATTTACGATCTATGCTTGTGCGCCTCGAATCTGAAGTATATGTATATATATAGTATCCGTAATAAAATAATAATTAATTTCATGGCATAAACTGCAATGCGTTCTCGTATATAACTTTATGATCTATACTTTATAACCCCTTCGATGTGCAAAAACTCAGCTCACGTTTCGTGCAGCGCAAGTTAAAGTCCGCGCAGAATGCGTAACTTTTTCCTGCGGAAGCTGTGAAAAAATTAACGCCAGAGATAAATTGTTTATAGAGGCCGCATGCTAAACGTTCAGCTTCTCAGCGTTCGTTCGCCAAAGATTTCAATTAACGCCGACAGCGAGTCGACACCAAACAAGCCTTAAATTTCACGCGAAATTTACACAAAAGCACGGCGCGTATTTATACGTAAGTTGGGATACAGCAAGGGTGCATATCCTTTTTCCAGTGGCAGCCACCTTCGTTTTCGGTCCACCGAGATTGGTATACGCGCGCGCGGGGGGAGGTGGCTGTAGCCCGCGTAATGTATAATATAAACGGTGCTGCCGCCGCCGCCGCTTGTTTTATTCTCTTTTGGGAGCCTCGAGCAACGACGAGTCTCTCTGCGGCGTGACCAAACAAATGGAAATGCGCAGTTGGTTTTTCTCTAGCCGAAGTTGACGCTACCGGAGCTTAAAAACTTTGTTGTCAAATCGAATGTTTTAACATTCGAGGATTGTCGTTGCAACGTGACTCTCTTTTTCAGCAAAATGTCGGGCTTTTCCGAAATAACAACTCGCGAATTTGCAATTTTTTTCGCTGAAAATTTGGAACTTTATGGACTTTGATATTCGATAAAACTCTTCTGAAGAAAAAAAGAATGCATCGTAAAGTTGAGTGCATTTACAAATCCTCCGCCTGTATGCTATTTGCAGATTAAGGATAAAAGCTTTCTTTATTATTCGAAGCGGAACGTACGTTATAGCTCTAAATTCAAAATTTATCGCGTAAAAAGTAATCTCGGATACGCCCTTACAAAGCTTGGATCGAACCGAACATTGCGCATACATAAAAAAATCAATGTAAAAAACGGAATTCCGATGAAAACGGTGCATGAAAAATTTCCACTTAGAGTACTTTTGATTCTGCCACCCATACAGAATTACATAAAAGTACAGAACTAGTAGTAGTATCGAGGTAGTTTGGACTAAAATAGAAGCTACGTCTATTATTCGAAACTTTGAGAACTTGTAGTTATGGTTTCAACTCCGTGTAAAGTTGTATCGATTTCGTTTTCGGTTTTCGGTTATTATAGTTGATCAATTCCATCTCTTAAAATAGGAATCAAGATAGAACGAGGTATGAAAACGAAGTATTTTAAAAGTTATAAAAAATTAATCGATACTGGATTCGGCTACTTTTTCTCCAAATATTTTTCGGACTTAGTCACGGTGCGTTATCTTTAAATATTTAAAAAAAATTTATTTTTAATCCATGTGTTAGCAACTTACTGCGGGTATAACTACATTAGAAACGCCTATTAATTATTCTTTTACGAGTGGGTTCGCTTCATTAATGAAAAATTATTACTGCCTCCCGTCTATCCTTCAATTGTGTTAACAGGTGAGCAGCATTCTCGGCTGGCAGTAGTTTTGCTGTTGGAGCCGTGTATACAACAGAGCGAAGAAAAAGTCTTTCGGGGTCGCAGCTGTTTTTATTAAACAAAACCGCCTGTTCGTATTGCAAATGGGGCGTCGAAGACGATAGGCGCGTTGATAGATCGCGGTACATGACTGAATATTCAGTCTTCAACTGTTCCGTTTCGAAAGGGTAAATTAAAGTGGACGCCCGATATCGCGAGCAATCGTCGTATTGATTTTGAAAACAATCTTTCGTTAAACGTCTCAATCCATACCTCGAGTCTCTGGCTTTGCTATTCGCGCATTCAACCACGGTCGTTTTATTCGAGATAACAATAAACGCACTTCAAGTTTCCAAGAGCCAGCTCCGGCAGCGGGATTGCTTGTCTACTGGCGATGAATGCAATTCGCGACGCTAGAAACTTGCCGACAGAGGATTATTTTCTATGATATGGATTATGATTGGAAAGCATCGTGGAAATATCCGGTTGCTCCTGTCCCCGCTAATGCCCAAAAGCCGCGCAGCCTTTGCGCGAGCCAGGCAAACAGAAGCTCGTGCAAGATTCAATTCATTAGGTGGGCGCGTGCGCAATACAGCGCGGCCGCTGCTCTGGCTGCACTCGGGGGAGAGGTACGTCGTCGAGGGGGCGAGAGCGCGCTCATCAATTATCACCGAAGCTCCCTTTGCGAGTGCGCCTTGTTTTTATTGCGAAAAGCCGCTAAGGTTATCACTGTTACCGTGCGCCCTGCTGCATTTGCATTGACAATGAGGCTCGTTATCGAGTTTCGCCTCGCTTCTATAGGAAGATAGGATCGAGTTTTGGTTTCGTACGTATCATCGGGTTTACCCCATCCCCCTTTATTTTCGGGCGCCGCGTTAATGAGTGTGCGGGCCCTTTGTTTCATTTCTTTTTTTGTTAGTTGCTTGCTCTCTTTTCTCTCTTTTTAAGGTAAACTGTACGGTTGGAAATTTATAGACGGGGAGGTGTACCTAATTTTTACATTCGCGCCCGTGTATTGAAAATATTCAACTTTAAAATTTAACAAAAAAGTAATTTTAAAATACAATACTGCATTATTAATATCGTTGAATTATTAATAAAAATTTTCTAATTATAGCGAGAAAGATCTCTTCTTTCAAACAAAATCGTAGTTCAACAATTGAATCGTTCTTCGAAAATATAAAAAACCTCGTTGATCAAAGCTCTAATACAAAGTATCCAATTCCACCCATTACGAGTTCACTTAAACAAACATCACTCCGTAAACGCATCATTATTCATCAAAGCTCAACCTCTCAAAATTCAAAATACACGACTCCAAGTTACCTTTGAATTTTCTCCAATGCACACGTTATCCGCAACAGGCAGTGCCGCAGCATACGTAACGATGCGAAATTCGCGATGCCAATATGCAACAGAGACGTTGACCCATTTTTCACTCCACAGTTTGATTGATACGTTTTTGACCTTTCTCTCGTATAAAATGGTACGTACGTTGATTGGCCCGAATTCCCACGATTGACATAGGGGTAAATTTTACGATCAAAGGCTGAGTTGAATATGAGTTTAAATTAAAATCGTTTACAAAAATATATCTACTTCATGGCTGAGAAAGTAACGACAGTAAAAGTGCTCTTTGTCTATGAACGACGAGAGATGGGATAGTCCAACTCTGTTAAATTATCCCAGAAGGTGACGTTTAGGTGACATTTAAGCCATTTCGTAGTCTCTGCTGATTGTCTTACGTCCTTGTTGCATCGTTTCGCGAAAATAAGATGCTTGTTCAGCGTCATTGCTGTATGTGTAATCTCGTTAAATTACACTCGTGTCTAAATGCATTACGTTTTATACTGAATGACAAGCTCTGAGAAGTAAAAAAATGTGCGTTTTATATTTGAGTTTAGCCTATTGAAACAAATAAATAAAAAAAGAAAATTATGTAAGACTTTCACTATTTTTGAAAAAATGTTTAGATAATAAATTACCATCGACTCTCGCTGTCCCGACCATTACGATTAGAGAACGCTTGAAACAGAAATTGCAGTTATTTTAGGATTGACCGCGCGTGATCATCTACTAAACTAATTTTAAATTTTTTCCAAGAATTATAATTTGAGCGCTCTTCTTCGTTCAAAAAATCAATATTTGAGCAACGCTTTACATCAATAAAAAATCGGAATGTCTACGCCTAAAGAGAGTGAGAGAGAGAGAGAGAGAGAGAGAGAGAGAAAGTGAGTGGTAGAGAGAGAAACAGACACAGAAAGAGAGAGATTATATTCGTATACCAACGAATCATTTAAAAAATATATTGCAAACACACTGGATATGTTGTACCAATACAGCGGTCTATGTAATCTCGGCAATGACATCTCCAGAGTCAAGGACGTGAAGCTCGCGAAACAAAGAGTGAAAATTGCAAATCTTGGCTCTTTTTCTCTATGTGTCGAATAAATGTTTGAACGATATTCCTAAATGGATAACCTCGCTATCAAGCGCTTTCATTTATCCTCACACTCATCGCTCCTAGTCATATTATTATTAAGAAAATACGACATCACTCATATAAACGTATGCTCCTCGGTGAATATAGAACTCAGCTAGAAGAATAAGCATTCAGTATGAGCGCCCACGCGTAATCAGCCCTTCGGCGAACTTTATGGTAATCCGTTTAATTGTGCCTTTGCAGTACGTTGCAATGTAAAATATGAATTTTCGTGTTGTGTTTATTGTTTTGCTGGCGTATTGCGCAAGGAAAACAAACTCATTCTTGAGTTAAAGTGAAAATTTACGATCAAAGAGTGAACTCTAGCTACGAGAGTAGGAATAAGGAAAAGTATACTTTACTATTCTCAATCGCGACTTGAGTAGTATTTTACGTCCCCCTCTCACTGCTCTCATTAATGGACTTTTCATTAGCAACATTTCATCTTTTGCGAAGATTTTACGTAAAAACAAGAAATATCAAACAAACAGTAAAACAAATTTGATTAACAATGATTAATTTCAGTAATTACAGAAAGAAACTTCTACTTGCGACCATGTTAAGGTAATGGATAGCGTCCGATTCCGCTGCTAGGAAAAGCAAAAGTAATTTAATTCGCAGAACGTTTCAAGCTTTTACCACGTGCAATGTTGACGGGGCGCGATGAAAAAGTTTGGAGTGCGCGTGTATAGTTCCGAGAAGCGCGCGGATGCGCATTTATGAGTTTTACGTCCGTAGGGAGGCTCTAACGGTAATCGCGCAAGTGGCACTCGAGGTATTTTCAACGATAATGTGCTGACTGTCTGTGTATGCGCGAAACATTACCCGCGCACGCTCGGCTGGAAATTGACCGAAAGCTGTCCGCTGAATGTCTGGCCGAAGATGAAAGGAGAGTGCGAGAGAGCCTCATAACGAAGTTGATTTGGTCAATCGACGCGATGAATTATATATTCGACGGTATAAACAATCTCGTAATGTAACGTAATCAAAGTCGAAGAAAAAAAAAAAGCAGAAGCAACCGCCTTATTAACATGTAGTAAAGATACACGTGACGTTAACGAGTCGAAATGTAAAGTAACTTTTCCACGTCGCAATTTCGATAACGATGGAAATTACAAGCAGCACGCTAATTATATCCATTGATTATATCAACTACATGAGTTTAGTGAAGCAAGTGTTACAATAAATCAAAATGAAGCTCTATCTAATGAACAATCCGCGTTTTCCAAATATCTTTAATATACCAGCATTAGGTATGCCGTGTTTAGTACACAAACAAACACGTGCGCCCGTGCGCGCACATCCACGCACACACACACACACGCGCGCGCACACACAGGGTGCTGTCAAAGCTGCAAGCCTCTTAAATAATCGATTCGCACGGTAAATTGGTTCCTTTAACCGTATCGGCAGTGGTAGCTAGTGTAAACTATTGGCGCGGCAGTGAAAATACACTTTCACGGATACTCCAAATTCAACGCGCGCCTGTGTTATATTGCACGGAAAGGGACCGCTCGAGAGATTCTTCCAGCTTTAAAGGCAGCTTATTTTCGTTGAATTCGCAAATGGAAGAGAGGAAAGGCAACGTGGATAATTAATCAACGAATTATGCAAATGTGACGATTGGTATTTTACGAGTGCGCGAGGGATTCCAATCTTATCGCGACTAATTACGAGCACGTAATTGAGAGACCATAAGTAGGAACGCAAGAGCTTTTTCACGCAGCTATAAACAAGCCGTAGAAAACATGACTGTCTACCCGAGCGACGCTTCGTGCGACGTGGTGCATGATAATGCGACTCTTGAATTATGGTTCTTTGTGTGGTCGTAATCGATTGGATTCCTCGACGAGGTACAAAAAACAAGACTGCCGTTGCGAAATAGGCAAACGAGAGGAAAAGCTTGCGCGCAATCGGCAGCGCCGCGAGATCGATGCGCTTTGCTCTCGAGTGCTTTATGTATATGCAATTGGATTGACGTGACGGAATTGAGTTAAAGAAATACTCGACGAGCGACGTGTTACGTTCGTGTATCTCGTGCCGCGCGTTGACACTCTGTGTTTCCGGAATAAATCAACGGTGAAAGGAATGTTTTTGTGAAGTGAAGGAGCAATTTGTTTGTTTTGTCATTTAATATATAAATTTATTGAGATTAATTCATAACTTTTCTTAGAGCAATCTTAATATTTAAAAACATATACTCCATATGTTTACGTTTATAAGTTACTAGACGTGCGCGTACTAAATATTCGGTTTATGGTGTATTAAATTATCATCGCTTCTTCTTAATACAATTGATGTTCGCATGTTCTCCCGCTTAGTTTTACACAATTGTTTCTACTTGAACGCAATGCTTATAAGCTTATATTTACAGTAACATGCATTCAAGACAAATCATAGAAACATTAAATGAAGGGAAAGAAAATAATTCATAACTTAAAGTATGCTCGCTCTGCATACGCACACGTTCTTTTTTTCTGTTCCAGCGAATGATTCTTAACCGAGTCACTTTCAAATTTTGGATCATAAAAATACATAAAAAATAAAAAAGAAAGAAAAGAAATAAAATAAAAGCACTTTTTTCTAAATGGTACATTACCACTGTGCAAGCGTCTCTTTATGCAACTTGCTGGACAGATCACAAAACACGCATCCCGACTCGATAATAATTCATTAGTTATCAACGCACCTGACAACTTTTTGTGTAACCTACGTACAAACAAGTGACTAGGTTAATTTTTACATAAGATTTTTCACTCGTTCTCTCATTATTCGCCGCTAATTTACATGCTCTAAGTAACCAAATAAAGTTGGCACTGCCTATAACTATCTCCAAAGATCATTCAGTCATACATGGACAAAAGTGCTATCGTTATAGCAGACCTAAATACACATGATTTAATTGTTTCAGCGTTGTCCGTTATTTAATGTGCACTATACACATTCAAGATCTGATACTCGCTGGATATTGTAACTATTATCATAGCAAAATAAATTCATTCCGCGTACAAAACCAGCAAAGTAGGAGCATTCGATCCAGAGCAAAATACTAAACTGAAAAATTAGACAATTTAGTTTGGATTTGTCTCGTCGTCGCCGACCGTCAATTGATCTCAGGCAATCTTCATATAGATCGTCCTATCTCTCATTTTTCGATTCCTCAATTCTCTGATCGCGCGATTAGCTTCTTCCGATGACCCAAGTGCGACCCTCGCATCGCCCGTAGGCATACCTTTGTCGTTGTAACGCCTGATCACTTGATCTCGCGTGATGTTGTAGCCGCGGAAAAAGTCAATTATCTCGTCGATGTCGGACTTGAAAGGTACGTTTTCCAACGAGATGACGCAGCCCGGCTTGCCAAAACCTTCGACGGGTGGTGGCGCTGCTAGAGATGGCAATCCTCTACCTCCCATATTAGATCCCATACCTCCGCCCATGCCACCACCCATACCACCAGCCATCCCAGATCCCATCATGTGCCTAGGTGGAGGCATGCCCATCATGGGTGGTCCGCGCATACCGAACCCATTACCACCACCCATGCCACCGAATCGTGGATGTCCCATTGATGAAAATCGTGGTCGTGAATCCTGTATTCGTGGGAACGCCTGGTGCTGATACTCTTCCGTGATTTCGGCATTGTCTACCAGTCTGAGGGTTTCCACCATTTTGTTGCGATTCACAAGTTCAATCGTGGGGACACTCTTACCGAGTGGCATACCGTTCTTTGCAACTGCGCGAACTGCATCTTCGCACACGTCGAATTCACAGAAACACTCGCCAGCTGGTTTTCCACTTTGATTCAGAAGCATGTGTATTCGATGAGGAACCAAACCAATGTCAGAAAAGAAGTCGAGGATATCACGTTCGCTCGTATGGTAAGGTAATCCACGCATAATGATACAATCAAAGGCTGGACCATTACTACCACCACTACCGCCACTACCGACTTTCTGCTCGTGTTCATGTTTCGCTTTCTCGAATTTGTCCTCGGGGATCGAAGTTACTTGGATGGGTTTGGGACCCATTTTAAAAGATTTAGACAGGGCAAGTTTAGCGTCGTCTAACCTAGCGAATTGGACGTACGCGTAATATAGAGTCATACTGCCATCTTTATGACTTGTAATGAAAAGGTCGTTGATCTTCCAGTCAGAGAAGAGCTTGGCAATATCCATTTCTTTCACATAGGAAGGTAAGTCAGACACTAGCACGCAGCTTGACGGGGTTGGGCTAATCTCCATTTCAACATCCTCAATTTTGTCCTGATGCCTTGACTTGTCGTAAGAGTCTATCGTCTTGTCAAATATCGATTCGTCAAGATGCAAAACTTCGACTTCCGAGCCCCTAACGAATTTATTACCTTTCAAAGCCAACTCTTTATGTTCAAAACTATTGAATTTTACATAAGCAATGCCTACGCGATTACCATGTGTGTCGGTAATCATCTTGATACCGTCGTTTCTAATATAAATACCTTGGAAAGTTTGACGAACATCACCGTAGCTAGAACTCAAAGGCATATTTCTAATCTCGACGCAGTAGCCGACATGCTTATCTTTACGATTATCGAAACGTGAATTACTCCGCACGTCTCTGTCTTTACCAGATCCATTGTCAAAAGGTCTATGATTAGACGACTGAAACGCATGGGGATTACGCCGGCTATCTAACTCCTGCATCTTATTGTAGAAGTTACTATTGTTACTTGATCCTGGACCTTGTTTCATGCCAGGCCTAAAGTTACCGTTGTTTGAACCGAAATTACCATCCTGTGAAAAATTACTCGACCGATTAGGAGGGAATCTGTTGTTATCCATTCTGTCATTCCAGTGTTCTCGACCACGATTAGGTCCAGAGCCACCCATGGAATTCATCGAGTGACTTAGCGAAGGCATCTGATTAGACATCATATTATTAATGCCATTCATCCCGTTATTCATACCAAACTGAGTACTTGAGATCAAGGAGCCAGAATTCAGGCTCATTGAATTAGGTCGATCGTTGTCAGGCATCACCGACGCAGCGACTGCGGCATTTAGTAGACTTGGAATCATCATGTTTTGTATTTGATTCTGGGGCGGGACTTCCCAAATACCATTTTCGGGCATACCTCCCTTATTATTTGGACCCATTGCTGGTCCTTTTTCTTTGGCAGTGAACTGACCAACGCACACAACATCATTCGAATCCTCTTCGACGTTTTCTTTTCGACGCTCGTTACCGCGTTTAGCATCGCGATCGCGTGAACGTGTACGGTCACGAGATCTTGATCTATCACGACCTCTACGTCCTCCTCGACGATCTCTGTCGCGGCGATCGCGGTCACGAGAACGGCTCCTATCCCTACCACGACCACCACGACGATCTCTACCCCCACGATCTCTATCGCGACGATCACGGTCTCGGTCTCGGTCACGGGATCTAGACCTGTCACGTGATCGCGACCTGTCGCTTCTACGATCTTTGCGGTCTTTGTTACCGGAATCACTTGCGGGCTTGGACAAATTGTTAGCTGCGGGAGTTACCGCTGCCGGTGTACTAGACTGCATGAACGCATTTTGAAGACTGAGGGTTTGTTGTCGCGCAGTCTCAATAACCTTTTGCATTTCCGTACGAGAGCTCAGTAAAAGCTTAACTTTCATTTCTTTGATTTTACCTCCATCCTGCATCATCGCCTGTCGGGCATCTTCGTCCGTGCTGTAATAATTATTTACCGATAACGTTTCTGTTTATTTTTTTAAGCTATTTGACTTCAATATTAAATCATAAATTTATTTAATTCTTAGATTTACGAAAAAATAATGTGAATTATCAGAATGTTATTTGATTATAAAATTAAGATGTTCAAATTTATCGGTAAGGTCAAATAAAATAATTTGATGAAATTAGGTCTTCGACGTCAACTTAAGTTATTATTAAGTAAATGAATGCTGTATTGCAGTATATGCCGTGGCATCTCAGCACGTGTATACTTATGTATAGAATGATGTCGCGCGAAAACCAAAAAACCATCGAATAATTTCTTTTTGATTTTACAGATAAATCCACAGACTGTTAGACCAATGAACTTATAAAGAACAGTTTTGACTTTATTTGAATAATATTCTTTTTCCTTGAAAATCAGGTCAATTCCGTTAAAAGTCTACCAAGAGGATAACTAAATCTCACCTAAAGGCAATAAAAGCATCGCCTAATTCACCACCAACAATGTGAACGCCACCTTCGGGAATGCTGAGTCCACGGAAAAACTGACGGATGTCCAACGCATTGGCGGACCACGCCAGATTCTGCAGCCTAATTATCACACTCATTTTGAAGGTAGTTACGCTGTTTCATAAATCTGCAATCCATAATAAAAAAAAATATTTGATGATACTCGTCAATGTCGATCAAGCTGGAACGTTGACAGGAACACACTGCGATGATGTACTCCACCAGTAGACCGAGTGAGTGAATGTTTTGGAATTAAGAGATTCTTTAGTGCGCAAATATGCATTTTCATAATTAGGAAACAAAAAATTAATTAAACAGTCAATCAGAAATTAAATAGTAAATGACATTAATCTTATGATTATTTGTTTCATAAACAAGTTTTTAACTCTCACAGCTGTTTTATTACACATATGCCTCTTTGCATTAGAAGTATCATTTTCCAACGTATACTTCTTCAATTCGGTGTAAGTGATACTTAATGTTTATCATCTATGTATATAACATTTAACCGTATTAAACATATGCAAAGCCTAACGCTTAAAAGATATTGCAAAATGCTACGCAATAAATTACTTGTTGAACTGTCAAAATGTGTAAAAATAAATCTTCATACATTCAAACCGTCTATCGATTTTTTCATGCGTTTTATAATCTATTTATCATTTTTATATCAGTAACATTTTTGTTCAGGGTACCTAATCAGAAATACTCACATTCTAGTAATTCCTATCGGATTTAAGGTTCTAAAAACTTGAGAATTGTAGGTCTTCGTTAAAGCACAGAAAAATACTTCAGTATATCCCTTAGGTGATATGCTTTACAAAATCAAACTTAGTGTCATTCACTACCTATTTAAGCATACAAAGTTCATAAGCATAGGAAACAATAATTTTTTGTAGTTGTGGCAAATGAGTCATAGGTATCATGAAAAAAATTGACCACCTAAGAATTAAATAGTATTAGAGCGAAAAAATGCATGAGATTTACGATATAATAAATAAATATACAAGCAAAAGAACTTTTAGCTTTATCTAATTTTACCGATGAAACTCGTACGCAAGTTTGTATATCTTTCGGAGCAGCACACACTGTAAGATAGCTTCTCGTTCCTTTTCGTACTATTAAAACTTATGAAACATTTTGAGAAAGATATAATGTCATGAACGAATACATAGTTATCAACATTTTGCGTGAAATGTACATAACAAAATATCGATAATTATTATTTCAAGTACTAATTTTATTTCGACAAACAAGATCAGTAAGCAGTCAATTTGCAAACGTCAGTTAGTTTGCTATGTATTATTGTGCTTCATAATGGCATGAGTCTCCAAACGCTAATAAAATGATGTCACATGGAAAAAAATTGAATAAATGAATTTCCACCATCATTAAATATTTATCTGTTGCGTTGAATATATGCAAGATTAAGAGTTTATTTTAAGCCGATGAAAAATAGAAAAGCTTTTGACCATCGATCCTCTTATCCTCCTCTTTCCGTCCTCATAAAAAAAAAGAGAACCTCACAAAGTGAAGCAAGTTTATTCGTGATCTGATTGGTTGAAAGACAGTCATATATGTAGTTGTTGTGTGATGTATTATTGAAAGATTCCAGCAAATTATTCGTAAATGATTAAATATTTTAAAAGTGTATCAGTATAGTTGGCATGAATTTAATGTGAATTGATTATTTAATTATACTAAACCCAAAATAAAAACAGACTAACACGTCAATAGATATTAATTGAACTTTACACTATATGAAAGTTTAGCTTCGAATAAACAAAGTAGGTAATAAAAAAATAAAAACCTGTAGATTCTCACGATAAAATATTATACAATGATTTTGTCTTTATTAAGTTATGTAAAATATTAGAAATTTTATTTGAAAATGCACTAATTGCAACCGTGAACGTGTACTGAAGTATGTTATTCACATCGTGAAGGATGATTATAGAAAAATATAATGTTTCTAGAACTTACATTAGATTTTTTATCATATTTTTCAAACTTTGGAATACATTTTCAACACCAAAAATCAGATGATGAAAACTTAAAATTTTATTCATAATATTTTTAAAATATTTTGGAATTTTCCATTTTGTCAATAAAAATTTTAATTTTGATTTGTTCATTAAATGAATGCGAAAAAAAAAGACAACAAAGATAAATGTGCGAAGCATGCTGGACATTATTAGATTTAAAAGAACCCATATTCGAAGCCCATTAATAAACTCCTAATACTCTATAAAACCTAAATGGTATAAAATAAAATAATAAAGTAAAATAAATAAATGTCATTCTCTCATTTTCTGATATCCGAGCCTATCACAGAACCATCAGCTATGGATTACTAAGATGGAATAAATCAATTAAGTTACATCGATCGATCATACTTTCACTGGTCACAATTGTAACAAAAGAAACCGGAATCATTAGGCCTGTTATCATTCATTGCGGTAAACTCGCTTGATCCAAACACACAAAAGTATATACGAACCATGGTAATCGAGACTGTATCGTTTAAGTACGTGACGAAAGAAAAAGTTGTTTAATTCGTTATGTTGAAGTGAACAATTATGCAGCTCTCAATTTCAACACATTTAGTTAAAATGACAGATGTACAAATCAGAAAATGATCAATTCGTAAACGTTACCCAGCTTGCTATACTTTTTTGTGCTCCATAATAGAATGAAACTACCAAAACACTATTTATTTAAATTGCTCTCCCTAAACATTTTTTAAATAAATTTATTATAATAGATCATTGAAAAAGTATTCTTGTATTTTTAATTGTAAAAATTTAGATTAATGTAATAAAAAATTTCAATGTACCACATTTCAATAGTGATGCACTTCACCCCTACAATCACATAATTAATGTACTAATTCAATTTTTGCCACATTTATCTTGGGCAATTATCTTGGGAAATTGTACAATGTATTTTATGCATTTTTAGCATATGTTTACAACTAAATTTTACCAATAACCTATGAAGTTCACAAAAGCGCATTTTTCTTACGTATAATAATTTAAATCAATTGCTATTTATAAATACCTAAATAATTTTAGTCGCTTTAAAGTTTCAGATTTTTAGCATCTAAAAGTGCAAAAATATTTGAATTTGCTCATAATTATAACAATTAAATGTAAAGTAAATGAAGAAAAAAGGAAATATAAATTGATAATCATTGTAATTGTTTCTGTGACACAGCTAACGATAAACCCTCTTATATAGATAAACAAATACATATTGAAAACAGGCAATCCTTTGCTTCATGATTATTCTCCAATGGAGCAAAATTAGGATTCGACTTTATTACAAATACCTTTCGATATATAGTTTACGCTAAAGAAGCTATGGACGTTTTATACAAATGTGTCATCGAAAAAAATAAAATATTGAATAATAAATTCAACTGTCTTTGATGTAAATAAATCAAACGTAAACATGTTCGTTGGTTTATAATTGATTTTACAATCTTAATTTAAGAATGTCATTTTTTCTTTTTTTTTTGTCCAGATAAATCGCTGCATGAAATCAAGTTATTTTAGCGCAAACTTCACATCAATGAATATTTGCCATATACCTGCCGGTTCATAAGAAATTCCATAAGTACTTCCGGTTTCCGTTTGGTGTGGAGTTTCTCGAATTTCTTTTCATATCATATGCTTACTGAACTTATTATGTAAGGTCATTGATATGTAAAGTATTTTCTAATTAAAATGACAATGCACTTTCCGTCAAACATTTACATTACAGTCACCGCGTAATATATTTTATGTACCGTGTCTAGTAAAAATTACTAGAGGTAAATCTTGCAAAATTGTTTTTTTTTTTTAATAGAATCTAGGCAATTTATATTATATGTAATTTATAAGCATGAAAAATTATCTTAGTAAAAAATGGAGTCAATAACAATTTGAATCAAGTTTGTGAACAATTAAACGTTAATGACATTGAATAAATATTGCAATGTAATGAATTAAAAAATCCTGATGTGCGATTACTTGTATTTTCTGATATTGAGAGCATTGACTTATAATCTATTTAATTATCAATTTTTATCAAAAATGTTTGTTTCGAACTTCCAAAAAATTATTCAAAATGGCAGACATCACTTTGCATTACATCTGGTGAAAGACCAAGTGTTGCAACAAGCATGTCAAACATCCTGCTATGAAAATACTATTAAATTAGACTAAATTGTTGCATTATACATTCGTTGGTGCAGTAATCTTATGTTAAAAAGAAATAAAAATTTTATATTATTTTATGTTATTTTATCTAAATTTTATGTAAATGATATCTGGATTTGCATATTTTTTATATGAAATAGTAGTACCATTAAAGTTCTGGCATGTCAACAAGTAGTCAAGTAGTGGTTTTTATCACATAGGTCATATATTCTCATTAAACTATCTTATTATTTTATAAACTGCCCACAGTAGAGCATGAACCGTGATTCTAAATAAGCTTCAAATGAAAAGTTTGGCAAAATTATATAAAAATATATCATGAAAGCAATAAATGAAACTTCTTTGCTACAAATTTCTTATTTTGCACAGTTGATTATCAAAGAAAGTGTATCCCTCAAAATTACTTTCAAGAAAATAGTATTTATGATAAAAAATAGTTATCTTTCTATTGCAATTATTAACTAAATTATTAAGTAATTTGTAAACAAAATTGACTGTAATCAACTAAATGAAAAATAGCTTATAAATGTATGTTATTAAATGTAGCTTATAAATGCTTATAAATGCTTATAAATAGCTTATAAAAAGCTAAATTTAAAACAATTATTTCAATCAAACTGCATTTTTGAATTATAACAACGAATATAACTATTTTACCATTTCATGTTAAAAAACGGACATTCTTCACAATTTTGGAATATAACTAAATAACACTATGTGTAAAAAATGTTCATATTGAATATAATATAGAAAAATTAATGTTCCCTAATATGTAGACAAATGATAAAGATCAGCAAATAATTAAATCAACTAATGGTAACTAATGGTACACAATAAAGTAATGACGTAAGCATACCAAAACTATTTTGAATTATAACTACACTTTTAATTCATAATGTAATTAATAATGTTTAAGTTGTAATTATTTATTTGAAAATCAATGTAAAATATACTATGACAAAAAAATAATTTTGTAAATTAATCTTCTATTAAAAGATTATTTTTTTGCCGAAAACAGTATAAATGATTTAAATGTTTACAGATGTAGGATATAAAGTAACATCTGTATCACGCATTAGAAGAGAATGTCAAAGATATGGAAAAAAATTTCTCTTGCGACTCTTCAGCTGGCTGTTATCTTCAAGATTTATGTGCATATACGGTGAAATAAGACAAAAAGAAGACGCCAGATGAGCAGTTTTACTATCTCCTTCTCATATTCAATAAAGAAACATTGAAGGCACCAAAACCAAATTGATTGCGAATCATGGCTCAGCAAATCAGCAGCTGTGCTCACAGCACAGATTGATCATACTTTAATCTTCTTAAAATGTTTAAAATCTAAGGATTTTTAATAGTTCTTGCATTACCCCAAATAGCATTATCAATCTTTAATTATTTTAATAATAGACAAAGCATTTCAAATTTTATCCTAGTTAGATCTAGCATACTGTATTCTGTTTTACTTGTTTATTAAATTATTTGTGGAGAGTTGAATACCAATCTTATAAATTGCCTATTCTTTAATTCAAAATAAGTAAATCAATAATGCCATAGATTTTATAATTTTGTTTGGATTGCAGAGATAAAAGTTGATTATTGGAAAGAATATTGAGCGGTTAAAGCTATAAAATAATAAACACTAAGATAAAAAATAAAACCATTAACAAATGAGTTTTATGTAAAATATAAATTGCTATATTAAATATTGTTTTAAGATAATAAGTTTTCATTTTTATAATTTTGAGGTTTCCTTTTGTAAAAACTGATATGAATTTTTAGCAAAATGTATCGTAGCTGTTAATTGTTCAGATACTTTGACAAACTAAATTGATTACAGTACAGCATCTTCAGATACATTTTGAATGAAACATGCTTAATTTTATGTTATAAAATGTAGACCTTTTTCAATAATTTTACTTAAACTTCAATTTCTAATTTTTTTTGTGATAAAAAATAAATTAATTTAAATATTTAAATAAACTTAGTGTATGAACTCAAATTTGTATGTATTTTTGCAGTAATGAATAATAGAAAAGATCTATAAGGATGAATAAAGTAAATTCTTACTTATAAACCAGAAGCTTTAGGTGTCAACCTCTTTTCCTGCCTAACTATCAATCTTTCAATGTTTAAAGTACTGTATACATCACTTGAAAAATGATGCAATCAATATGGAAAATGATAGTTTCCTTTTCCCATTTCTACTAATTGTAGTTAAAATATCGTTTGTACTAACTTAATTTAATAGACGAGGTGTTTCTTTCTCACTCCGTACGGCGACAGAATTTTCTCCAACTTGCTGCCGATGTCGCGATCACCCAGTCAGCAGTACTTGCGCGAAGTCCGGTCCCGAGATAAACGAAAGAACAGCTGAAATCGGCATCCAATTGGAGCTGCTTCTCGATTCAATTAATCGTCGCAACGTTTAGGATGACTCCATGCAACTACTTGCCATTGCAAATTTTCAATTTTTTGTCTGTTATGAGATGAGGAATAGTAAGTCAAGTTTGGGTTTGTTTTTATTAAACCGTTCACAATAAGTACCAAATTACTTAGTTTTCTTCTTTGGAAGCCAGAAACTTACCTTTGTTTAATGTATTTGTAACAAAATAACAGTTTTGAAGAAAAAAGTTGTCACATTCTAATACAATCTCTTGACTTTTTAATAAACCTGATAGTCTCAAGCTTCATCACTTTATAAATTAAGGTTGATTCTGTACTGTCAATAAACATAAAAGGAGTTTTCATACAGACAGGGATATGGTTATATCAACGTAATTTTTTTATTGATAAACTCCATTGTTTAACAATTACTTACCACTCACTCGGTAACTATGAAGTTAATCATTGCAAAGTTTTAAAAAGCCTTTAATTGTACTTTATTCTAATAAGTAGAATTTAAATTTAATTTCAAATTTTAGAAAATAATAATAAAATGTAAACAGAAGGCAGAGAGCAAAGTACGTGACCATTCTGTAAATCACAACACTTCCCTCCCAGAATAAAAGCTAATTTGATTACATTTATATTTGGAGATTTTTACCTTTGTACTCGACAACCTTCTTTCTTCAATAATGAGTCGTTTGGCTAAAGGTACCACGTGACATTAGACGCAGTCGCGAAATAAGACGACCAAGCAGCAAATTGGTAAGTAATAATGAAATTCAGCAAAGATGAGAAAAACGAAAGTTCAACTGCAGCACTTTATTATTAATATTTTATTTTTTTTTTAAATCCAGGGCTGGGACTTCTAAACCTGATACTTTCACCTAACACACACTGGATACACCTAAGGAACCTGGAACATACATTATTTGTGTCCCATTGTACTTTTTTCACGATCACTCAAAGGTAATGGAATTTTCAATGCAAACCACTAAAACTATATTTTCATTTTCCCACAAGTATATGAAATATTTCAATCATATTAATGTACCATATGTTTAATAAAACAGCCAACAATGCTAATATTTGAACACTAGAAGACTCATTCGTTTTTTTACCTAAAAATTTTATTATTAAATTATTCCAATAAGAATTATACATATAGTTATTGAGACTATTGACATTGAGAAATTAACCATACAAGAGTAATACTGATACAAAGCCATTTCGTAATCGATCTACCAGAGCATCACTTGGACACAAGGATAACAAGTACGGCGTACGTAAACAAGAATACAGATTTCAAAGCAATAAACTAGTAAAAACTAATGCCATTGACAGTGATTTATATCAATAAAAAATATAAATCGTCATCTACAGATATTAAATTCTTAATTATATCCATTTTCCGTTCTCCCAACAAGAATGGCGTCTTGTTTAGTAGAAACGTCGAGAAGTGTACGCACGAGGTACATACCTCGCGTTAATATTATGTTCATGCAAGTACTTACAAGTAACGAAAACCGACGGACTAAACCCCCGGAGATGACGAATGATCGCACGGAGATTGCCTGCGGGCCGTGATTATTTGTTTTTTCCTTTTTTCCGAAGAGATGAGCGACGAAAAGCCGAGATGACCTGCCGTCGTAGTACGCCAACCAAGCGCGAATGCAAAATGGCTGAAAATGGCTGTAGCCACAGTGGCTTTCTCCTTCATAGTTCTACTTGCGATCCTAGCGACCTCTTTTCTCATAGTCAATAAAAACTTGAATGTTGTAATTTATAAAAATTATTTGATTTTAATGAAAATACAATCCGAAATATCACTCGAATTTTTAATCACTTTTATTATTTATTGCGAGTAAATAATATAATTTTAGTTAATTTAAGAATTTGATATTGCGAGTGAAATTAGATGGCAGCACTATATAAGGATATCGACTAATTATTTTTAACAACGCATCTTGACAAAACAAAATAATATTTATAATAATGAATGTTACATCCTTTGATTTAATTAAACATAAATAAATTTTTCAACATTCAATGTAAAGCTGCAAACATTTATCAGTACAAAATATTTTTGTATAGCCTTGAGTCTGATTAATTATTCCAATTTAAGCCATTTCATACTAGTGTTAAAACTAAAACATTTTTGTTGACTAAGTGAAACTAGTTAGCGTTTTTATATTTTTTGTGTTTCTTTACATTTTGAAAGTCTATTAATTGTAAATTTATATAATATTAATAAACAACAAATAACAAGATTTCAATAAATTCAAATTTGAGTTGACAAACACCGGAAATTGACGTCTGTTGTATAAATAGAAACCGAGCGTTTCGAAGCGTCATCAGAAATCAGGATCTTTGCCCTGTCCTATTGCATCCAAATCCTACAGTTTGCGTTCACATATAATACGTGTAAATGTAGATGACGGTCAAGTAACCTTTTTTAAATGCAATTTTTCTCCTGAATGCTCTTTTTGAATATAAAAAATTCTTTAAAGCAATAACTTTAAAGTTGATTTTTTTTTCATTCAAAGTGTATTTAGGGGAGAAAAGTTAAAAAAATGTAACATGACCTCATAAACACACAGTGCTTTGTATTGTTATTATGAAATAAAATAACATGCTAATTGCGGACGCAGGGTTAGCGTGGCGTCTATCAAAGTAGTGGCAGTCAGCAGTCAGTCGTCTATCAACTATCATCTTTGCGCACGGCATCTATAGGGCAGAGATTCATTGAGTGGCATCTTTTTGCGTTTACTTCAGTTATTACTGACTATTGAACACTATTTTGGGCTTGTAAATCTGTCTAAAGTGGGATATAGAAGCGGAAAAGAACTGAGAAAATGACGACGAATCAGGTAAAAGTGGGAAGTGGTTGGCCTAGGAGATCGAGCAACAGTTCCTTCGACGGCAAACTGCCACCTAACCCTTCGGTCACTATCAATCGGACGATAAATTTGTAAGTAGTAAATATATAAATTTTTCTTTTAGCGTTGTTGAGCCGCATTGAATCGGCGTGCTGTATATATTGATTCTATATACGCTTTCATGTGTTTGTTTATTGTAATTCGCTGAAGCGTTTGTACTTATGATAGACGAACCACGAACCGAAGCCAAATTGTTATTTACATATGTATAGTGCGAAACTTATATAAATTGTAAACAATCTGATAGGCTTGTTCAGCACAACCAAGCACCTTTGAACTCTGATGGAATGTCTTTAATTATGTATTTTTTTTTAAAGCGATTGTAAATAATTATGTTAGTGCTTGGTTTTCATTCTTTAAGAGGTTCATTTTCAATGTTTATTGTATTGTTAAGATAAGAATTGTTAACACAAACAAACACCTGATTTACTATGTAGATATCCTTTGACAAACTATACATTCGGAACAAAAGAGCCTTTATTTGAGAAAGATCCGTCAGTGCCAGCTCGATTTCAGCGAATGAGAGATGAATTTGACAAGATTGGAATGCGTCGCAGTGTTGAAGGAGTTCTGCTTGTTCATGAACATGGTTTACCACATGTACTTATGCTTCAGCTTGGGACCACATTCTTTAAATTGTAAGTTGTTTTTTAGATATTTCTGCTCGTTGGCTAAATAATACCAAGTATACTAGAGTATATTAATTGTAATTATTATTTTTAGACCTGGTGGAGAGTTGAATACAGGTGAAGATGAAGTTGAGGGCCTTAAAAGGCTTCTTACAGAGGTAAAAATTGAGCAGTTTTATAAGTCATTCAAGAATGATTAGAAACACTTCTCAGTAGACTTATTATTACATAAAATTAATATATTTTGTCAGAACACTATTTTGTACTGAGCAGAGCCTTGTGTGATCTTTTTGTATGATTTCCTTATTAATTTATTACAATTCTGCTTAATTTTATATTGTAAAACAATGTCAAGCTTTATATAATCTTCTGAACATTGTCATATAGTCATAAGTAAATTGGAATATAATATTGGAATATAATACATAATTATTTGAAATATAATAGGTCAAATATTGAATGATAGAAAAAGCTTGACATCTCTTTGCTCTAAAAAATTGTAGAGGTTCACTGACTAAACTCTGTTCTTTGCGAAATGGACAGAAAATAGGTTTTTTTTTCATTCAGTCTAATTGTTTAAATCTCAATAATTGTTTTTACCTTAACTTGATTCTATCAAATAATTTGTTTAGGAAATTTATGTACTGGTTCTCAATATTCAGAAAATTTATTTAATTTTCACAATTAAAGATTTGCCAACTGATGATTATCACCAGAAAAGGTTACTAAGCACAGCTTCTCTACGTACATTTTGTATCTATAAACCTAATTTTTTATACTTTAATTTTATACTGAATTTTCAAAAAATATAGATAAAGTTGATATCTGATTGTAACAGTTTTGGAGATATTTTATGTTGCGATTGTACTTTTATAATTGTAAATTACTATTGTTTCATGTAGCTAAGTCAGAAACATTTCATTTTTCAAAAGATATATCAAATTTTGTAAAAATGTTTTATGTAAAAAATTAAGCAACCCAAAAAGGTTTATAACTATTTTATAAGTTAGACATTTTATAAATTTTCTTAGAAATCAAGGGATGAAAAAAGCATGTACACAAATGTAATTATAATTATTCATGCAAATTGTTGAATTTTGTAGGTGTAATTATATTTCTATATGTAACAAGTCGATGTACACTAAAATTTCTATAAATTAATTTTTATCTGGCGATAAATTTAAATATCATATAATTTACGTATTATAGTATGTCATTTATTACATTTTTAAGAATAATGTTAATAGGATAATATTTATTATTTAATTGTGTTCAAAAAATTACAGATTCTTGGACGTCAGGATGGTATAAAACAAGAGTGGCTTATTGAAGATACTATTGGAAATTGGTGGAGACCAAACTTTGAACCACCTCAATATCCATACATTCCACCTCATATAACAAAACCAAAGGAACATAAACGCTTATTTTTAGTCCAATTGCAAGAAAAAGGTTGGTATATGTAACAAAGCAAATAAAATTACTATTATTTTTAACAGTTTTTAGTTTTGAAATTGAAAATATTTTTGTTAGCTCTAGTAGCAGTACCTAAAAATTACAAGTTGGTAGCAGCTCCATTGTTTGAACTATATGATAATTCACAAGGATATGGACCAATAATTTCATCCCTGCCACAAGCACTTTGTAGATTTAATTTTATTTACATGTAAGGAAAAAATGTGCATAATTTTTTATTATTATGAACTGGAAAATAATTCAAATTGATGTATTGAGACCATTGAGTTTACAGATGATTGAACATTATCTGTAAGGTATGAATGCAATGTCAATCTTACTAATAAATTTTCTAATATTACATACCTTTGTTTTTTTCTTAAACTATTTAATTTTTACTTCATGATAATTACATTTTTTTTATTTGTTTCTCAAAATCTTACCTTATGAAAAATGTCTTCATAAAGTCACTGAAACAGAACTTAAATCACGTGACATTTTTATTACAAAGTTCAAAATGGCGTCCTAGTCTTAATGACACCTGTAAACAACAGTTCTGAGTTTTACTTGCTTTTTTACGTCAAGTAATTTCTGGTCAAGTCATATTGGTTTGTAAAAATGACTGGAACAAAAGACACCCTTATGAAAGAAGTATTTATTTTATTTGATTAAAAATATTCAATTAGTACTTTTAGTTTTATACGTAGTATATTTTTTTAGGTTGAAGTTTTTCAAGATTTAGTTAGACGAACATCATATCGAATAGATATTTTGGAAAAAGAACTTGCAGCGCAGACCACACTTGAAAATAAAGATTCATTGAAAAAAGAATTAGAAAGTGCTAAAAAAATTTTAAAAGTTAATGAGAAAAAACTGTTGGAATTAAAAAAAGACAATTCTAAAAGTTTTATGATTGCTGCATGCATTATTTATTTAATATTTCTTATTTTTGGAGTTTATTTAATGCTTTATAATAATAACTGACCAAGGTAAATCATGAATATTCTCATAATATTGTAAATACACATTTTTTATGTAAACTTTCATTTTTATTTTGACATTGACAGTTCAATGTTGTTTGAAAATATGAACTGATTCGTAAGGAATTTCGATAAATATTTCTGCACAATGCATGTGCAATTTTAAATTACAATTTGTATAAAAAGAGTATTTGGATACAATTAATATAATCTTAAAAATTTTTTTAAATAATTGCATAGTACCTATAATATAGCTTTTTTAATTTGTCCCTGTTATAGCTTAGCAGTAAAAATATCTTAACAATTTCAGATATTTGTCTTTGTGAATAGCAAAACAATCTTCACTCATGTTTTCAAATTTCAGTTTTAACTAAGATTGGCTAAAATCATCAAATTTAATATATCTGGCTGATTTACATTAAAAATGGAATTTTTCTTATAGTCAATTCTTTATTGAAAGTGTCCAAGTCTTTAAAAAGTCATTAAACAACTATTTGTCACCACCTCTTATAAAATATATCTTAAAATGTAAATTAATTAAGATTTGATTAATTATAAAACTGATTAGATAGCATATTTATAAGAATCAAATGTTATTACATTGTATATAGAAGAGGTAATTTAACTTAATCTTTCAATAAATATTTTGTTTTTGCCAAAAGATCTTTGGAGAATGTTTTGGGCTCTATATATAATTTTTATTTGGGTATTCAGAGATGATTACATTTTTATATAAAGTATCATTATTTTTTAATTCTATGTAAGGAACTTTAATTAACTTTTTTCTTTTTATTCTATCTTTATATTTATATATTATAAATAGATAAACTAGAAAAAATGATAACAATTTCTTTATATCCTTGTACTTCTACCTTGTTTTAATGAACATTGTACCTGAAATAATGAAGTAAATAAAGTTTTTCTTTGATTATTATTATCTATTATCTATTAACTAAACAAAAAAAGAAAATATATTGATTTAATAAATGTATACTGCATGAATTAACATTTCTGTTAGCTAAATTATAAGATACTCTAATTAATTACTCAAAAAAGTAAAAGAAATAAGATCACATTGAATATATATGTAAAATAGCGATCTTATACGATCTAATTTAAATTCTAAAAAATATATTCAAGATCGTGCAATATGAAAGTCGATAACTCATTCTTATTATGATAGGAAACTTCTTAATTTTGCCATTCTAATTATGAGTATTAAATGTTGATGCATTGTCCATCCTGCAATCTTGAATGAGAAAAAAGAAATCATATTTCATTTTAAGGTAATATAAATCGCTGTATACGTATATATTTCAGCAACAAAATACGAAATATTATAAAACATAGTAAGAAGCAATAATTCACGTATCATTCGAGATTTTTTCTATTTTTTATCTCAACAATCATAAATTAAAATCATAAACAATACTCTCACGGATTTTTTTTTTGCGTTAAGTATCAAATAAGTTCTATTAGACAGTGATAGTACCTCATACTGTAGAGCCTGCCTTTTGGTAATGCTGGAACTTTGGAGTCTAAATTTATAATTGAAATCTCGTATTAATTTATAAGTAATTGTAATTGGTATGGTAATTATTTATTGTCTATATCGGTATTCAAATGTCTTTGTACATTGCTATTCTAAAAGTGTATATACGATTTTGATCGAATCGATGTGAAAGGTCGAGAAAATCCGTTTACACTTGACGTGCAGCTTTTGTTACTTGTAGCGACAGCAATTTTTAAACTGTCACTGTCATCAAAGATGCGCGGGAAGGTACAAACTCGGACAATTTCTATACATAAATATAAATATAAATATTGATGCTTAACTCTTAATGTCTTCGAATTCTGAAAGTATGATCAGTTTTAAATTGTTCTATTAACCAACTTCAATCTTTAATCAAATGTTTAGTTCGAAAATTCTATATTTAATTAACATAATTACGAAAATTCAGATCTATATTTTTGTAAAGTTTCGATTGAAAAATTAATTTATTAAGCCAATTTAATTTAAAGATATCAACTTTTATTGATGATATTTACTTAGTAGTCAAAGTCAAGTTAACTGATAATCATTCCTGAACACTTAAACGTAGATATATCTGACATTGTTTTACAATGTCAAGTAACTTTTACCATATCAAGTATAAATTTTTGTGGGAATGTTATCGTATAAAATGCTTGTGCAATTGTGCCTTTAGATTGGTACAAAATATGTCTTTGAATAGATTTAGTTATTTAGTTTATCTTACAATCTTGAATGTTTTAAAAATCATATTGTGCAATGCCTGCTATACGGCTTTTCATGTATTTTGCATGAGTTTCTGCATCTAAAAAACTTCTTTTCACACCTGCATCTTCTTTCATAGCCACTTTCCATTCTAACTGCAATTAGCGATTATTAGATTAGTGTTTTTTTTGTATAGCAAATAATTTAAATTAGTGTATACTTACCAGTCTATGATACCTGTCTTTTGGAATAACAAAATGTTCTCCTCGTATAAGTTTTAAAATGTCTGCTCTTTCACACCATGGCCAAATCATTAAATCTAACATACCTGGTTGACTTCCATTAAAAAATGGAGTTCCTCTTTTGGCCAATTCTTTATCAAAAATATCTAAACCTTTCAAAACTTCATTAAATAGATCCCTATCATCACCTTTCCCAAAGTATATCTATAATAAAAAAAGATTTTAATCAATTCTTTTACTGTATATTTACATCAGCTTGAATATTTAAAACAAACTACTCACTTTGTATATGGTTGTTATAACTTCATTGAACCTTTCGATTAATAACTTATCTTTAGCTTTTGCTAATGGATCTTTTGGAAACAAAGTAGATTCTGGATAAGCTTCATCCAAATATTCAGAAATAATCAAACTTTCATACAATGTATCACCATTTTCAAATTCTATGCAAGGCACTTTGCCTAAAGGACTTTTTTCTTGTAACCATTCAGGTTTTTGAGTTAAATTCACATAAACTACATCATATCTAAAATAACAGATTTACAATTATTCACAAAATTGTTGAAATGAACAAATATAAATAACTATAATAAGTATATTAACAAGTATATTTTGCAATTTGTAATTTAAAGAAAAGAAAAAAACAAATTCAAATTAGAAAAAGGTTATTTAAGAATAAACCATGACTCATATTAAGTCAATACAATAATTATTCGTTTGAATGATTTTAAAGAAAAGAAAATATTTTAAAATACATCAAATTATGTTTTCATCTATATTCAAATATTTGCTAACTAAAATGAAGAAATTAGATTCCTGTTACTCACGGAATTTTCTTGGAATCAAGAACTAGATGAACCCTTTGTGCATAGGGACAAAATCTCATGCTGTACAGCCTTAATTTGCCTTGTTCCAAAGAAGGAACCTTTGATCCTGAATTCATTATTTTTTATCAAAATCTTGCATCAATTAATAAGTAAATAAAATTTAAAGAAAAGATGATCCTTGCTGTCTATATACACACCAGTACTCAAATGTTTGTTGCTGCCCATGATTGTAAAGGGTAATAAAGAAAAACAAAGCAATCACAAGTAAAAATTCTACTTTTGTTTGCTTAAATCTTACAGTTTCGATATGTCGAATATCTATTTTAAAAACAGATATGTGTTTATAACAGAAATTGGTAACTACGATGACAATATATATGCGATGAAACTGGTTTTCGGAATGCTGATTTATTTAGGAACAAAGTTTTCTGGACTTGCTGTGGATTTTTATTCTGTTTTTGCGGTTGCCGGTCAACGGCCGATGCTTTTTTCTCATTCTCTCACATTAGATCGCCCTCTGTGTTTTGCCGCGATTGCGCACTGCGCATTGATCGGATTCTCAGCACTGCTGCGCAGTGCACTATTTTATATGACCCGTGACTCCAGCTTTTTAAAAATTAATGAATTAAAAGTATGTTAATATTTTGTATTGGTAGCGTAAAACAATCAGTTAATGAATTAAAATAAAATGAATAGGGAAAATACATAAGCATAAATGATTTTAATTTAAAAAAAACTTCAACTATCTGTTTAAGCTCTCAAAATTTATAGGCTATTGAATTTATTGCCTGTCTAATTTGGAACTATAGCATTCCAAGTGACCATTTACAATTCACGAATTATAAAAAAATATACACTTACCATTTAGACTAAAATATAATAATTCGAATTAGAATGATTCATTTTCATACTCATACGATCACACTTTGAGTAAAATACTCAAGTGATGTATCAGGTATGTTACATAGATAGTAAGTGACTAATATACATTGTAATATATAAATAGTGATGCATCAAAAGAGAATTTATTACTTATGTCAAGAATATATTTCTCAATTTTAACGCCATTAATTATTCACAATTATGTGGAACGAATTCCCTTGAAAATTCTGTGATCAATTTCGTAGTATATTAAATTCTTTTGCAGTGTAAAAGAAATCTAGTCTTTAATTTTTGAATTAAAAAAAATATACATATATACAATATTCATCTGCCTGCATCATCTAACATATATATTATATATATTTTTTATAAATTTGTTAAATGAACCATCAGTCGGTATTACTGTTAGTTGGTGCTGTAAATATTAATTTTAAATTTCTATAGCCGACTTTATCCACATAAAGTGATGAGATAGCATAAAGTCATTTTTAATGTTTTTGTAAACTTATAAAAGTATGATATTTAAACTATTGAGTGCTAATAACATAAATAGCGAAATATTTAAACACGATGTTCAAATATAAAAGCCATATATAGCTTTTATATTTGGCTTTATAATTAATCGAGCAATATTTTTCTTATATACATTGCGATAGTTATAAAAAAATAATCTGTCATTATAATTATAAATATATGTAATTATTATAAGTTCATCTCTTTATTTAATTCAATTTTTCACCATCTGTTTGTATGTTAATCTTATAAATTTCTCGATTTCCAAGTACATAAAAAATTTACCCTGCCTTTTTATTTTAATGAAATTTTGAACAGTTCTTTTTAATCATGATTTATTCATTATTTTCTAATTTTTATTTAAAATTAAGCATACATTATTTTGAACTTTACCGTATTTGACGCTTATTTAATTCTTTTTACATTCTTTACTCAGGTAAATAATTGGTTATAGTTGTTATTAGAAGGTAACTATTATTTATTTGAGTTAATAGGAAACGTAGCATTTGTTCTATGACTTATAAGAAACGATTTTAGCAGTTTCTGATCCAATCATATTCGCTACATAATTTCCACAATTTGTTACTTACCACTATTTTTGGTTCACGCTCGTAACATTGGAGTGTACGTAAAAAATCTATGTACTACTGTGGGCAAAAAGTAAGGTGAATTTGTTTGTAAAATGAAAAATCTTTATTTATTCTTCTACATCAATGTCATCCCCTTCGAAGTAATCCCCTCCCGATAAAATACACTTATGCCAACGTTTTTTCCAATCCTCGAAACATGCCAAATAGTCCCTTTTCGGTATAGCCATCAGCGCCTTCTTCGATTCAGCTCTTATCTCCTCAATCGACTCGAAACGCGTTCCCCGGAGTGGTCTCTTGAGTTGAGCGTTTTCGGTACCAAACGAGATTTGACTTTTCGTAGGCCCAAATGGTCTTTCAAAATTGTTTTCACAGATCCTTCTGATATTCCGATCATATCAGTAAGGTCTCTAACAGTCAACCGACGATTTTCGAGCACTAATTCCTTCACTTTATTGACGTGTTGGTCATCTGTTGACGTCGATGGTCGTCCGGAGCGCTCCAAGTCATCAACACGTTCTCGACCCTCTTTGAAGTCTTTGTACCACTTATAAACATTTTTCTGCGACATGGTAGAATCACCAAAGGCCTTCCGCAACATCCTCAACGTTTCCGCAGCCGAAATTTCATTCCGCAAACAAAATTTGATGGCACTTCTTTGCTCAATTAAATCAGACATTGTAAAAATCGAAACATGCACTCTTGGTCGTTTGGTAAACACAAGCGTAAATATATTACTGATGATGACATTGACATGAAATTTGTCCCAGGTGTCATTCGCAGTCCTACCAACTCAAGAAAAAAAGAACTAGCCCGAAATGTTAAGCCCGCGAAGTTTAAATTGAAAATTCACCTTACTTTTTGCCCACAGTAGTATTATTTATTTGAGTTAATAGGAAACGTAGCATTTGTTCTATGACTTATAAGAAACGATTTTAGCAGTTTCTGATCCAATCATATTCGCTACATAATTTCCACAATTTGTTACTTACCACTATTTTTGGTTCACGCTCGTAACATTGGAGTGTACGTAAAAAATCTATGTATAGTATTGGCAGCAAAAGAAATTAAGCTCTTAATTAAGAGAGCTTGGTTATTTATTATATTACACACATATAAAAATTGTATGAACAACCATCGCCGAAATATAAAGCAGCTTTATCCTTATGGCCATAAGTTACGTGAGTTTTACAGCTGCGTTGCGCAGGTGAAAAAAACGCATCGTTGTGTAGCTGATAAGATCGTATGGGAGAGGGTGAAAAAGCCGTACACGGCAATATGGCGAGAGGGTGGCGCGTGGTGCATGTGAAGAAACAAAACAACGGAGGAAGGAAGGAAGGAAGGAAGGACGGAAGGAAGGAAGGATAAGATACACAGGCGGCGGCGACGCGCGCGCACCCACCGCGAAAGAGGGAGAGAGAGAAAGGGAGAAGAGAGAAAGGACGACGGACCAAGTGGTGGGGAAAGCTTGCAAGCTCGGATTGGTGGTGTCATCGATTAGCTTGCTTTCGTTCTCGCTCTCTCTCTCTCTCTCTCTCTCTCTCTCTCTCTCTCTCTCTTTCTCTCTTTTCGGACTTTTAGTCTGTGCTCGGTAGAGATTTTAATTTAGCGTAGATTTTCTATTATTTCAGAAAATGTTTACTTGAAGTCCGTTAATTGACTTTTTCATATCTGTTGTCTCTAGGAAAAGATATATATTCAAAATTTACTATCGTAACAAATCAAGTAATTACATAATCATTTTCGTTATTAACTATATTCCTTGACAATTCTTTACATAGCAATTGATGGTTGGATATCTAAAAAACGTGAAAAAATCGAATACAAATTTTATCGCTGGGAAATTGTTTGAAAAAGTTCAGGTATAAAAATACTATCTCGAAAACTTGTAATTTTTAGTGATATGTTTATGATTTCAGGTTTTTGCATAAACTTTTTACGTGTCATGCATCACGAATGTTTCCAGAAAATATGAGATCCTGTTACATTAAAAAGGAAATATTTAAACCAGAGATATTTTGCTAAAAATTTTCAATGATAACAATCCTACTTTTTACTGCGACTTCTATCTAAAAATTGGTATTCCACTCAAACTTTTCGAAAACTTGGCATTGCGTCAACCACAAAGTCGGTAATCTCATAACAAGTCTCCAAAGAATTTTCCTCGGAGACGAAGCAAACGAGGTAACCCCATTACCCTCACACACACAGCAATAATCTGGACGATCTCAAAGGAAAAGGCCCTCGGCCCTGAGCAGAACACCTCGCCACCTCTCCCTCGAATTAACCGACCATGGCCATATCGCCAAAGGCTCCGCCCTCTACTTCGCAAGAGCCGCCATTCCTCGCTCCATGGCAACACGCCCCGAGAACTACCAACGAGCTTGCGCTCATCCCCACCCCTACTCGCCAGCAAGCGAGCTTTCATTTTTTTTTTCGTCCGTCGTCGTCTTTTTTTTTCTTTCTTTTTATCTACGCGCGACCATTGTTCGCTATTTGTCTTGAGGCTAAACCGACCAAAGGATCTATACGGAGCTTTACAATGCCACACCAGCTTTCGAGATGGCTTAATTAGCTTTCAGATTGCTAGACTTTCGGCGTGTAGTTTCTTCTTCTCTCTCTCTCTCTCTCTTTCTCTCTCTCCCTCTCTCTCACCGTTGTTTTCTAAGTTGGTCGATTGTTTGATGAGAATCAGGGGTTGTTGATTGAGAAAAGGTTCATAATTTTTTTTCTTATAAGAGGGAGTTTAAACTGAGCTCACTGCATAGAAACATCTTATTTAGCAGTAACAACGAAGTTGTAACAAAGCAGACATTAGCTTTTTTCATACTGTTTTCCGAATTTAAGAGAAGTACTCGATACGTCGACAAAAAGAAAGTGTCTTCTCTGTACTGATGACAGTCTAACTATAATAATAATCAAAATGAAAAATTTCAATTTAACTGTCTTAAAGAGGCTTGGAGAGTTATCAAGATTTTGTGTTGGCTCACCAGACGTTGATATTTACTACTCGTCTAGAAAAAAACAAACTTTCACAGAAGAGCGATTGCGCGGCAAAGAAATGAGACTTCCATTTTATTTATGAACAATGAATCACATTTATTTCATATTAAGATGAACATATTATCATGGTGGTAACAAATAATTTGACATTCAATCGTCAGTGTATTTGTGTGTATTTTCCCTTGATTCGCTCGGAATGATATACTTTATATTGTTTGTGTCATGGGTAGGTTTGAAATGAAACATTGAGCTGAATTAAAAACATAAATATTATTTACAACATTAATTTTTTTTATTACTCCCAAATGACTTTTAAAATGATTATCGCTATAATCGCAATTACATCCATAAAAAGTTTTCATCCCACTTGTTTAATTATATAAACTTACAATAACGCTTTCAATTGAGAAAATTGCGAAAAAAATCATCGACACTCTACTTATTTTCCTTTCTTTACACGTGATTTCTTTGTTTATTTTAGGAATGACGGAAAGAAAATCGAAAAGCGTACCTAATGACTTCGCTCTCGACATCATCTTTGGTATCTCAATCACTCGCACAGCCATTTATACACGCCGAATAAAGGACTAGATCATCTAAACGCAGCTACGCTACACATGAAAACACCCTATCTACATTTCGGTGCCGTCTCTCGCACCTCGCGGCTTTGGACTGTTATTCTTGTTGTTGCTTTTGTCACGCGGTAATCTATACAAACTCTGAAAACATAACAAAAATAAATAATGTCTAAGCGGTAGGCGATAAATTAGCGAAGTTAAATTATGAAAGGAGAGCTACGCAGTTTGATTCATCGACAGTCGTTAAACGAGCGCTAAAAAAACCCGCATTCGAATACTCTATGGCACACCGTTCACACATCAATCAAATCGCACTGCGAAAAACAAAAGGAAATGCTTGTCTCGTCCAAATCCCGCGAAGTCAAAGGGGGACGCATCACTATCCGTTAATATAGCTTTTTTTTGTTCTAGTAATGCTTAGGTCTTAAGTGTTGGTATGATACAGTATATGACTTAGGAATTACGCATCGTCGACAGAGGTACGTCACTTCATTTGTTATTTTACTTTTGTTTACTTTAATTTAATTTAATTTTTTTGGTTTGCATTTTTACGTGATAAATCCGACGCGAGGGCATCTCAACGGCAGCTTCTGAGAATTCTCTTACGATTGAACCTCTATATGATAATTGTAATAATAATCGTATTTTTCACGTTCCTTTTTTGTTCTCCTGGCTTCTCGCATTATCTTTGACAGGGAAATAAGCTGCTCCTGGCGCGCTTATGATATACAATAACAAATAATGTCAGTTTAAAAGAGTTTATATGATACACTTGTTAGTTTGAGTTTCCGCTGCGCCCGTCGGACACTCGAACTTTTTGTCCTGAGTGGTGCGTCTGAAGTAATTATTTTTAACTGTGAATATTGAACATCGATGGACATTGAAATATCAACTATACAAAAATGATTATTATGAATTGTTAAAAAAATTCTGACTATATTCAACTTGCACTACTTACAGCAAAACATTCTTGCACAAGCGCAGTCATCACGTAACTCATTAATTTAAAAGAAAACAATTTAAAAAAGAAGAAAAATTATTCGTCATCCAGGACAACACATTTGAGTATCCGTCGTTCGCTCGATTTTAGCTTTACGTATCGGTATATTACTTACACGTTTTCGCTTGTTTAATTATATTTACAAGATTTTCATTATTTCCTTTGTATTCTGCCCAACACACCCACAAACAACTCCTCTTGTTGAAAGATAAATTCAGGTGATAGCCTTGCACATTTTTCACGTTTTACAGTCACGTTGCGGAACGTCAAGCGTTCGATGGCTCGTCATGGTCGTATATGGCACACAGAATGTAGAATGAGACAGAGGATGAGAAGAGAAGTTTGGAACGCACCAAATCGCCTCATTGTTTTCACATTCCGCCGACTGTATGTTCTATACATGCGAGGGATAAAAAAACCTATATATTTGAATGAGGGGAGGGGGGATATACGACGGATCTTGCAGTTGGCCGATCCATTCTTTCCTCGTCCCATGCGTAACATTGACGTTGGATGGAGTTCAAGCAACGTTTTGTAAATGTTGTACGACTTCGAATATCAAACATTTATAGTTGGTAAATGAGAAAAAATGGCGCGCGGGATATACACAACACTCGCGCGGTCACTTTCGTTTGCTCACAATACTACTGCGCGTGCATGTGCCCGAACCCAATAGTAATGTACACTCGCGGAGTGAAAGCAAACAACCGCAAACATCCCCGTCCCCGATTGCGAAAAAAAAAAAAAGAAAAGGAAACAAAAGCTGCAGCGCGCGAATTGTTCAGCGCGGAGTACCGAGAGCAGCTCCCCACTGCTCGACCCCGGGTCATGCGTAATGTGGATAGCTGCCAAGGTGTGGCGGCACATGACCCGAAGCCGTATGATGGCCGGCGTACAAATTAGCGCCGGGACTCGTTGACCAGTAGCTCGAAGCCGATTGGAACAAGCCACCGGGTACTGATACCGACGTAGCCGGCGGCGGCATGAGGTTCAATTTCGCATGGCCGTAACCCGACATGAACAGCTCGCTTTGGTACTTGTAAGCCGCTGGATCCGCTGCCGCTGGCTGCGTCGCCGCTGCAAGCCCTTGGAAGTCGAACTTGTACGCGTACCTCTTGCCGTGAACTTTTGTCATGATGTTCTTGTCGTAGTAGTACCTGCAAGCAGATGCGTCGATGTTGTGTCTGACCCAAATTGCGTTTACTACTGATTTGGCTGCTATAATACTGGCTGTGCGGGTTAATCGACGCGAGCGAATCATCGCCCGGTGAAATTCAATCAACGCGAAATTCTCGCGCGCCGACGAGCGGAAGAAAATATCGTTACAGCTACGTACATCTCCGCGGCGGTTATTAGTCCGTCGCGCGAATTCGATCATCCTGCTGTCCCGGCATGCTGCTGCTATTTTTAAAAGCCTACGTCGAAAAGCTTTGCGGGAAAAGAGCGATTATCGAGAAGAGAGTGGGTAACGCAATCAGGGAATCTGATCGAAAAATAATAGACGCGCCTCCGTTTCCTCCCTCTCTACGTCTCCCGGATTCGAGCTTTGGCATAGCACGAAGCCGATGATTGAAATTTCGCTCGAATCTCTCTCCCCCTTCGTCGCCTGTATTTCGCGTGAAAAAAGAAAAATACCGTCTTTTGGCCTCTTTTGTATTACGGTTCCGCTGGAAAGAACGTTGTCCTCTCTTCAGCCTTTTCTTCGATTTCTCGATATACAACAAGCAGTTCGCCGGCATTTCTTCCCTCGCGCGAACCTCTCTAGTTTGGAGACTTAGAACGGCGACGTTTGACGAACAACAATGGATTTTACGAGACGTATAGGCTTTACCGGAGGCTTTTTGGCACTGTGTTTCTCTATGAAAATGTCGTGCACATTGAATGCACGAATAAATTTACCTTAACGCCCTAGAGAGTTTGTCGTAGTTCATATTAGGTTTAGACTTGCGTTCGCCCCATCGCCTCGCCACTTCATCGGGGTCGGTCAGCTTGAATTCGCCGTTCGTGCCTTCCCACGTGATACATGCGGCGTTGCTTGAGTCCGACAACAGCTCCAGCAGAAATTGCCACAACTGGATCTGTCCACTGCCGGAACTCGCCAGTCTGCTGCTCGTTGCTCCGAACATCTGATAAGGATCTGCGTGGAAATCGATGATATTGATAATGATTGCTATACCAGTTATATTTTTTAGATACTTTACATGCCAAGTAATTTTTCGATTTTGATTGGTCTCCTTCAATATTTGGTAATTTCAAATTTATTTCGATTGTACAATGCAACGTAATTTTGCAAAAGAAACATTATATGACTTAAGGAGAACTTATATTAATTGTAGATTTTTTAATTTATTCTTTCCTCGAGATGCTCCAAGAACTTTTTCCAAGGAAAGATTTTACTAAAGTAACTAAAGACATGTTTTTCGGAGTTCTAGGTGACTTTTTCATCAATGCTAGATACAACTCTCTAATATGAATTACTTGAGATTTTTAAATATTTCATTGTTCAGGAAGTTTGGACTACTGATCATTAATTAAGACTATCTTTCATTAAAAATAAATAAAAAATTAGCATTTATACTCCGACCACTATTACGGAATCCTACTTAAAAACGATAATCGTTAAATCAACTCTAAAGACGCTCTCGTACAAAAGTGTACTAATTTGATCGTTCATATTCAAACTACCACAGATAAATTAGCGACGATAGCATTTTTCACAAAAGAGAGAGAGAGAGAGGGAGAGAGAGAGAGAGAGAGAGAGAGGGAGAGAGAGAGAGAGAGAGAGTGGTGAAGTTTGCAATTAAATAAGGCACAAGCGTGGAGAGAGTCCTTTTGGCGAGAGTAGAAAAAAATCCAAGCGCGGGGGTAGAGAACCGAAAATTATTGTGATCCAAACGAACTTCTATTCTATTGTGGAAGGGTAGCCGCGATTATATCCTTTGTGCCTTGGGCAAGGAGAGAGGTGAGGACACTCGAGTACTGCAAAGCATCGACGCCAGTGATGACGCATTGTAAAGCCCTTTTTTAAGGGGAACGCCGACGACGACCGAGTCGAGAAACAAGCGAACGTAATAAATGTGTGTGTGGGCCGGCTGCGATGCTACTCAGAATACGACGTGTGAAAAATATGACGATGCGCGATTTTATACTTTCTCTTTCTGCGGCAATTGAACTATGTTGTGGTGTGGCAGAGGGATGAAGCTCGTAATAGCAAAATCTTTAGCTAAACGCGGATGACAAGGCTAAATGATCAGTAAAATTTGTGTGGCTACTAAACAATGTAGAGGATAACGAGCTTACTAGAGGAAAACGTCTCGACGAAGAAAGTCGTTATACCTTTGATTCATAGGGCTGGTAAAAAGAGAAATCCAACTGGCCTTGTGAGCTTAACCAGTAATAAAGATGAACGAAGGGAACAGGACAAGAGAAATCAGTAGTAATTTGGGAAATGTGTTTTCCACTATGATAATGATTGTTACTACACGAAGAGTGATTTACTAAATATACTTTTTTCTTTAATATTATTTTTAGTCGATTAAAGTTTGATAAATTCAATTTTTTTTTTAGTGACGATTATTTTTTTGTAATGCCGACTACTTTGCTTACTATTTGATAAAATATACATTTAATTACAGAATTCTTATTACATTTTATTTTATATATAATGAACTTCGGAAAATATTGATAATTTTATGAGCTTTTAGCTATTGAAGTAAAATAAAAAATCATGACCTACTCTCATTACTATAATTCTAATGAAGTGATAACGATTATTTTATAGCAATGCCTCGCGACTACGACATGACCACGATTTTCATTCCAACTACTACATTATACTGGTGTCCGATAAAAGGCTAAGATTATTCGTTGCTATCAATAATTCGTACACTCAACTTAACAATATTATAGGAAGATCTAGTTTTTTACTTGAGTTTGAATTTTTAATTGTAATTTTTTTAAGCTGAAATGTCAAAATACAGTGTTGAATAAATATTGTAAATCAAATGTCGTTTTTTTAAAAATTTTGACTTGCTTACATTTTATTTAATATATCTAAAGGCTACGTTTTTGTCATGAGCTGCAGTCAAGAAAAGAAATCAATCATCTATAATTATGAACATTTTGAATCATGAATCCAAATTTAAGTATTGATGATGTGTAAAGGAATTAAAATTTTTATTTTGTCGTACGTAATTTGAACTTTGCCAATTAGTTTAGTAAGTCATATTTTTGAATCATGTATTTTATTTCGATGGAGAAGTCATAATTTATCTTTGAGTGGAATTTTACTTTAAAGTGTAATTAATCTATTTGCTATTCTTTAAATAAGTCAAATAATACATTTTTAGTTAGGTATGATTATTCAGTTATTTTCAAAAGCTTACTTGATAATGCGAGATTAAAAAGCAGTTTTAAGTACAGATTTTGATTGCCTATATTGCTATGAAAAAGTAATCCAATATTTTTATCAAAATAACGATCGAATTTACTAATATATCACGCAGTTGATATTATCAGTAAAAACGATTATTTTGATACACTACTACATTCAAATTTTAAAATTAAGTCAGTGTTGTTGATTGCAATAGTAGTTATCAGCTGAAGTTTGAAACACAAAATTAAATTATTAATAATTAGTTTTACTGTATTTTTAAGAAAAATGTGCATTATCAACTATATTCTTCATATGCACGATGCCTTAGAATCAGAAAATAGACTTGTATTATTGATACAGCAACATTGTTATACTCATTAAAAAATCCAAAATAAATCTATTAAAAATATATTAGTGGTTATAATTCTCGTCGGATTATTTTATACAAATATAAAATTCATTTGTTATTTTTTTAAAGTAATGATTATCATTTTCAAGTAATGCTTCAAAATGAGTCAATGTTAATACCACCACTTGCTGCAAAAGATCCCGAAATCTTATAAAGTTAAGGTAAGACTTTGTAACCAACAAATCCGTACACTATCGGCAACATCATGATATTTATTTTTTCTGAGTTTGAATTGTAAACTCGAATTATAAAAGTACGATGTTTAATAATAAATAATGCTGATGAAATAATTTTGTTATTGAAAATCAGCGATGAATCATTGAATCAGAGCGCTTTTGATGTTTTCTACACCATATACTAATTTTATCGTGTATTTTTGGATTCACATACTATACTTAATACCTAATCCAAACGTTGATTTTGAATATTGTAAAGATCGTGAAAATTTCAGTAAGAAAATGAAGTACAATATAGAGATTGCACTATTTATATTTGACATTGTTTGTAAGTGTAGCTATTCTTGAATAATCTTCATACAGTGTAAATTTCCAGTCAATCTCATCAATCCAGAAGACAAATACAATGAGCTTTATAAAATTTTATGCATGGAGCAATTATCAATTAACAAGAAAACATATGACTGCTTGCTGTAGTGCGAACGCTCCTTGCTGTAAAAAACTGACCGACACCTTACGTGCCAGACTGCATTTGCGACACTGACAAAAATCTGAATGTGGAGCATTACGATGTATGTGCATCTGACTAGAATTCAAAAGCCGTGTAAAAGGGGGTCATCGAAAGACGAGAGAGACGAGGAGGGAGAAAGACGAGTGAAATCAGAGGCAATTCGGGTGAGCGACGACGAGAAGTGCATTATGATTGCTGCCGTGGGGAAGATTTCAGTTGTATTGCGCGCGATTTACCTCCTCTTTTGTCTGTCTCGCTGACTGTTCTTGTTTAATAGCACGAAATATATGGTTTTTGTGGATTAGTCAGCTGTAACATTTTTTTTGGTCCTTTCTGCCAAGTGAAACGAAGTAAATAAAAATAAGTAGCTCCTATTTTTTTCATAGATTCCTGTTACTTAACTGCAAACGTCCTCGAATTACTTAACGATGCAAAGTTGAATTAAAAAAATTCTACTTTATCTCAATTGTCGCGTTCGTAAAGAAAGTCCCGTTCTTAAAATTCTCCGTGAGCAATCAACCGGAATCCTATAACAATCAGACAGCCGACTACTGGTATCTACCGCTGCGCAAACCTACGCCTATGCAACAGCATCGAGCGAACCTCAAAGCATGCGTTCAACCCCCGAGTGCGCAGCGGTGATCGGCTTTCGATCGAAGCGGTAATTCACTTACTAGTTAATAATGGGTCGAAAAAGGAAGCGAGGATGGGGGAGGGGGAGAGCACGCGGTTCCAACCCATTTGTATGAGGGAGAGAAAACTGCTTCGGTAGTGGACGTTATATACGTGCAAAATCCCAACTACCGTGACGTTATATATCGACTCTTCGTAAACAAAGTCTCGAGGGGTTCTAATTGATATTGGATTGGAGTCGTTGTTTTATTTTATTCATACTGATTGCCTGGCTTCTTAATTATGACTACTGCACTATATTGCAGTTAGTCTGCGAGTTCGTTTTTCGTGACGATTCATTGCTGCATTGTTGTGAATAAATGTCAAGTGTTGGGATTGCAAAAAATGATAATGGAAATTATTATGAGATTAAGAATAGTTCTATTATAATAGTAGCTGTATATTAGATTTCAATTACAGTCAACACTAAAAAAAAAGGGACTGGAATTTTTTATCCTGGAATTGGAAATTATTATTCTCTCTCTTGTACTCTCTCTGTTCTCGGTATAATTTATGTCACGCCACCTCGTGCGTCTATAAGTTAAAAAGAAATAAATAAGATAACTCTGATTGTGCATTGACGCTTACTAGTCAATTCACAGACTGTAAAAGCACAAAATAGCACAAAAGTCGATGGCTTTTAAAACAGGCATGCTTTAAAGCGAAGCCAAAGAAAGGCCAAATTACAGACTCACGCCCCGATGTAAACACACGTGGCTCGATTGTAAGCGAGCGCGGCCAGCTGTAAAAGCGTAATTTTCGGGCGTGGCGCGAAGAGTGAGAAATCAGGCCGACCTTTTGCTGGTCGATTGTTACTAATCGTTAAGACCTTATTGGGCTCTTTGTTCGAGGTGTGCGTGTGCATTTTAATAGTATGCGCAGATCAGGGCGAGATTAAGGGTTATTTTATTTTCGAATGCGCTTACCAGGTTGCCTGAGGTGTGAGTGTGAGTCCAGTGCCGATTTCGATAGGCTACTGCTGTACCCTAGAACGAGAGAAAGAAAAAAAGGAATAGCGTTAATTAATGTGTATTGATATTAAAAACGATTGAATATATTGATGACAACCAAACAACACGTCGTACGGTGGAAGTTTAACGTAAAACATTGCGGATTATAACATTGCCGACAGTGTCGAATAGCATGACGCCAAACGTCGAGTAAAATCTCGCATATCTCCGGAAATCTTTAATAGTGCCCCATATACCAACGCCTAGCAATGAAATCCGAGTAAACCGACCGAGACAATCATCCGTGACGTCGCCGACAAGTCAATATCGCCTTGCGTCCCGAGAGAAGACAGAGAGAGAGAGAGAGAGAGAGAGAGAGAGAAAAGAGAGAAAGCGCACGCACAGTCGGAAGCTCGCTCGAGCGGGAGAATCCGTTAAAGAGGATTTCTGTGTAAGCAAACACTGCCTTGAATGGCTACTGTGACGCGTTTGTCTCTGTATAGTTCCTCGATTTTTTTTAAGAATAATATGCCAAAGATTTTATCAAAATGCTTTTCTGTGTAGGAATGTATGATCAAGCAGGTGATTTGCCGTTAAGTGAAACCAGGCAGTTTTAGTCAGACGGATAAAGATTTTACATGCATAGAACCGGCCGTACGACTAATTGTATACATAAGAAATTTTTGAGATCAGTAGCAGATAAAGACAATGTTTTAAAATAAACTCTGGATGGTTCAGTTGAAGAAAATTCTTGCGAATTCCCAAAGCAGCTCAAAGGAACACCTAACGAGCATTCAATACACCTTCTTCACACCGAAAGAAGAAGAAGAAGAAGAACAAAGGAGACATGTGCGCAAGTACACGAGTAGCGGAAAAGTTTGCTAGAAGAGCAGCAGCAGTCGTCAAATTGCGCGTTCGCAGTTTGAAAGTCAAGAAAAGTATAGTGTTAGAAGGTGCTTGGCGATTCCCCCCCCCCCCCCCCCCCCCCCCCCATCCTCTTATTTTGTCGCATTGTGTGTGGCGCGCGCGTGTGGAGTGCAACGGTGCGGAATGGCGGCTCCTTTGATCGTCTAACGCGCAGTCCGAGAGGAAGAAGAAAAGAAGCCCCGACTATAACGGGATTACCTCACAGCCCCGCAGCTTGCCGATCGCGTAATTGTTCGTGAATGCGACAACGGCCTGAGAAAAATCAAGAGCTAGGCAAGAGGGTTGCGATAAGATAAGGAGTTGATAGGATATGTTTGGGAGGTGTTTGAGGTTTTGTATTTTGTTGATTTTCGAGCGAAAGATATCGATAATGTGTTTTTGTCGATGCGCATACCTGGATTGTTTAGCAAATGGCGATGACTTATTGCGTATTAAAATAACTGTGTGATGCATTTGAATTTCTACGATAACCCAAAATTATTTAAGAACGAAGAAAGAAAACTGCCAAATCAGGGTAATCAAATTGGGATCGAAATGTCTGAAGAATAACGCACAAAAGGCGAAGAATCGAAGCGTAAGAAAAAGATCAAGGGCCGTTGGAAAGGCGCAAAATAAAGCCCGCGGCTGGTCTGATTGCGGGACTTTCTCTTCCTTCCCTAGGAATTTCAGTTTCTCGCTCTCTCCCTCTCTCATCCTCTCCCTCTCTGTCTCTCTCGCTTGTGCCCTTCACCCAATCATCCTCGGCAAATCGAATTGTTTTAACATAGCGCACGAGGGAGCCAGCTGCCACTTAAACTCGGCATCTGCTGTCCACGCGCCGCTCCACGGCAATTGTATTTTCTCGGAAATCAACGAGAAATAAGCCAGGATTACGGCTATTTCAGTTGTAGTTGCCTTTTTTTCGAGGTAATTATCGCTTGGAATTGATTTTCAAAGTCTGACTAGTCTCAAAGGTATGTTATTGAATCAAACACTAGAAGTATTCTGTAGAGATTTCACAATTTACAGGTTTGAACGTCCTGAAATATTTTTCAGTTTATAATTTCCACTTTTAATAATATCAATATTCTTAATAATATCAATATTGCTTCATAACATTGAGCGTAGTGGGTGCGGTGGGGGATTCATAGCAATTTGTAGTAAACAATTATTTGGTTACAATGATGAATTTTTCGAATTATTAAAAAATTGTAGCTTTTAATAATTGCTTGCAAATAGATTTATGAATGGCGCAAATTATATGCTTTTTTTATAACAGGTTTTGAGTGATCGTTATTGCAGGTGTAAAAAAAATATCGAAAATAAATTAATGGTCATATTATTTCATGACTTCCTATGATTAGTAAATTATACTTTTTATACAATTCTCATTTTATAATGTAAACACTTATATCATGCTTACACATAATCTACTCTATATACTTATTAGCTTCAACACTCAGCTCATAAATTACTAATACTAACAATTATTGGCCCACGCACGTCCTGCCATAATGACAATGTCACGCGTAGGTAAACGATTTCTGTACGATAGCAATACTAAATTTCGAGTATTAAGCAAGTGGCAGGTGATGGTCTGCAAGTTGTGGTGCATTGTATTGGAGAAAAGGTGAATTGCATTCGTTTGATCGAAACTGTATCTAAGTAAAATGGAACATCGTTTCGCATAGATATTGATTCTTCAATACTCATTAAATTTTGTTTAGTTAACATAACGGTTTTTTAATTGAATATAAAACATAAAATAGCATTTATTAGAAAACAAGATACTATTTAACATGGAAATTTCCGAAAAAAATCGATAGGAAAATAACTGATCTGAAGTATTCTACATAAAACATTTTTTCATGAGTAAATAAATATTTAAAAGAAATATATATGAAAGATTCTGTCCATTATTAAAAAATGATCAAATGTACGATAAGGTTATATAGAATATTTTGTATCAATTAAATTTTGTTAATTTTTCTTTAAAAAGATATAAAGTCATATGATATTCCATTGTTTAAGAAAATAGTATTTTATTTTTTGTGTTTAGTAGAAAAGAATTATGTTAAATAAATAAAATTTAAAAATTGATGTAGAATAAAATCATGTAGAATCGGTATCTGTATGAAACGAGCCCGGTTATCTGGGCATATTGATCGAAGAAGCGTTAGTTATTGGTCGGTCATGCCATTCTCTTCCGTCGCCTGACTGATGATATAAATGTGTACAGCGTACGAAATTTTTCAAGATTGTTGTACAATTTGCACAAAGTAATAATCATTTTTATCGCGGTTTAGGAAATTAATTTGATCAAAGCAATATCCCTAGATAAAGAATAGAAATAATTATCCTCAGCAAGAATACACTGAACTGGTCAGACACTTACTAATACACACTGTGTATAGACAAATTATTTGCGATAGTTGAACTAAATAAACTATTGAGGAACTTTTAATCAAAATATTATAATCGAATATCGAATATACGAGTACGGCGTCGACAATTAAATATCGGCAAAAATGCTGTAAGAAAATTTCGTAAAACCGAGCATATAATTGAGTGATTAGATCGATAAGTCATTATAAGTAGGGTAAAGCTTGGCTAAAGTGCATAACACGACCCGCTGTTTCGGGCGTTTCACGCTCTATACCTGCGAGAGACGAGATTCTACAACCACACCACCCTCCCATATATCGCCATTGTTTTACGTACGTGAGCGCGGCACGTGCTTGGCTACTCGAGCGGCCCCTCGAGTATAAATCTGAACGCTCGCTCGCGCGCGAGCGTGACCAGGCCAAAAGTAAAAGTCCCGAGGCAGCCATCCGGATTTCCGCTTGGCGCCGTGTGGCTTGGCGACTTCTACTTTCTCTCTCTCTCTCTCTCTCTCTCTCTCTCTCTCTCTCTCTCTCTCTCTCTCTCTCTATTTTTTGTGTGCGATAGTTTCGCTTTTTTACGTTCGACTTCATTTTTCGCAGTTCAAGCTCGTTAAATGAGCTAAAAGTTGAGTAAAAATGGGGAGTTACTATTCTTTAAAGATTTTGCTAAATGTGAAAATAAGTGTGGCAATGAATCACCCGAATTATTATTATTATACATTTAGCTTTTACGTTTTGATATGGTGACTTTGCAGTTTAACATTCTATATTTTGTGAAAGTGAAAATGTGTCTTACGGTAAATCATCACAGTTAGCCACGCATCGACAACTAAATCAACTGCAATTCATAGTAGTGATCCGAGTCGAAACTATAAAGCCATAAACTGTAACAAGTGAGCGTGCGTATTTAAAATTAAAAATCGATAGCACGCGACTTGAACGCCCGAATCTACAACTCTTCGCTCTCAATAACAGAGTCGTATGTACGCGACGGCTATCGCGCCGCTGCGCTTGAAAATCGAGTGCCTATCCGATATCTCCCCGGCAACATATAGACGTAGTCGGCGACCCCCGTACGATGTAAGAGCGCGAAAAGCGCGCGCGCGAGAGAGCGATGAATAGGAAGCGATACGGGCGTCGGCGTCGGGGGCTGCTGGCAGGCGACGCGTGAACGTGTCACGCATAGGCACGTGGCCGAGTGAGTGAGCGGGAGAGAAAAATACATAATACGTCCCGCGGGGGCCGAATCCGGCAATATGCTCTCGATCATGCTCTGCGATTATTTCTTATTCTTTCGTGTCCTCTCGCCTCGATTCCGCCTTTCTTATTGTTGCCAATTCAATGTCGTTGCTTGTCTTCGCTTTTCCCGGTCGTTTGATTATTTTCTTTTGGTATTTTGTTTATTGTTTAGGTGTATTATCATCGAGGCTTTAACGATATGATTTGTTAGGCCATTCGTGGCTAGATGACGAAATCATTAATACGAGCGTGTTTTCGAATCTACGCGCGCGATCGACGTGAAAAATTTCGAAAGAAATCGCGAAAGTCATTGCGCATTCGAGCGACTAAAACGCGTTCGTAGAAAGAAAAGAGAACCCAGAGAGCGGACGTTCAAAACAAGGCATAAATCCACGGCCCACTTAAGCCGTAAAAACCGAGCAAAACTATAAAACTCACGGGCTTGCTTGCTTTACCTCGCCTCTTGCCCCTCGCGCGCGCATTACGTCACTCTTAATGAGATTTTCCCACATACGTACAGCCCTAAAGCTATATAATGAGCAGTCCACTCGACTACCAAATTGACCTTTAATCTGGCTCGCGTACGTAGGCTGTTTTTTTTTTTCGTCGGCGGTTCGCAGGTGCTGCTGGTGGCGCGGAGGTAATTACCATGGACGCTGTCGGTAGCGGGAAGGAAGGAAGGAAGGAAGGAAGGAAGGAGGAGGCCAGTGGAGGAGGTAGACGAATGGTCAGATATCCGAGATCGCGCGATAGGACGCTGGCGCGCATGCGTTAAAGGCCTTCGCTCGCGCTGCTCGCTAGCTTGCTTTTGATTTCTAAGCTTGCGAAGGGGCTCACTACCGACGAATGTTAAGTATGCGGATTCGGACATTACGTCACTTCTCGAGACGATCACTTTTTTTTCTCTACTGTAACGGCGTTAATTTTTTCACGGGTGATACAATATTTATGTATAACTTTTAAGTCTAAATGGGAAATTAAAGTCAGGATTTGATCTGCAATTCCATAAAAACGATTGCCAATAAGAAACTTCTTTGGTTGTCTTTAATGTTTATCAAGAAATGCTACAACCAAAATTGTTTTCGTGATACAGTCTTTAAATTGCACGTCAATGGTCAATTTCTGTCATTATGTACATGTTTCTCCACTCGCGATATTTTTCATTGTTCATTTGTAGCACATTTCCACGGGTTCAATACAATTTAATTGTTCGACAAGTTTTTTCTGGATTTATTAATTACCTATACTAAAGCTTGCATATGTTTTGAAAACTTTTAGTGTTTCAATTGCTTTTCTTTAATCCAGTTCTCAATATCGAATGTATTCGTCATTAATTTTGCCAAAATGTTAGTATTCCTCTTCTCTACGTATTATAGATTTTTTTTAATTATCGTCATACATAAATTATCTACAGTGACATGTAGAATAGAATAGGTTATATATTAAAATTTGATTTAGATGGAAAATTTTAATTAGTATTTGTTTCAGTATTAACACTCAAATGCGTTTTCACATACGTTGCAATGAAGTACATTTCTATAAAAACTAGAAACTTCTTAGATTCAAGTTGGTGCAAATATATTTTGAAAAATTGATTTTTAATAGTCAATGAAATATAATGCTGTTCGTAAATATTTAATGTAAGATATACGTGTTACAGAGTGAAAAATACTAATTGGTAGCTAATAAGCTAATAAATAAGCTCAATAAGAGTCGTTCAACTTCTGTAAATTGCAAAACTTTAATTTGAAAAATTAATTTTTCTGGTTCTATAGTATAAAGCCAAAGAAGCTTGCATCTATCTATTTTCACTCTGATTTAACTGATTTTTAGTAGTAGAACGATTCACTCGGTAAATTTTATTTGATACGACAATAGCTTTGGAAGCCCAAATTTGAAATCATTCACTTTGTCTCCCACATCGCGATGGATTCTTCTATTCCCTATTTAAAACTACCACTATAATGTATCCTTGCGGATAAAAAGAAGGTGCGAGACTGATAAACTTTCAGTCGACGTGGGAGTCAATCGTTCGCGGGGGGTCAGCCAGCCGCGAGGAAGAGATACGCACATACACATGCACGGTCGGCGTTCTCACACGCGTCGCGTGACTTCCCGGCGTCCCGCTGCGTTGCTCTCTCGCTTTCTCTTATGTATAGCGTTGGGGTGAGAGTTGCGCGTTCGCGAGTCACCCCGCAGTATATATATCTTCTCTCTCTCCTTCTTTGTTTCGTTGTAAGCTCGTTACTCTTGCTTTGACTGACGATTCGCCTTTTTTTTTTGCTGTGCTGTGCCGCTGGCGCTTTGATTTTACGCGCGCGAGTTATTGGATTTTCTGGAAATCGCTACTGTTTTTTTGAAGCTGTTGTCACGGGCTGATCTCGTATATTTTTTTGCATAGTTTATTTAGTTTTTACTTTGTAATATGATAATAATAAAATAACGAATTTTACATGATACAATCAAATTATAATCGAGATAACTGCTGCTAATAACTTTCAAGATTTAGTCATAAAATTTAAGTATTTTATTGATAATATAGTCAAATATAGTAAATTTAGATATATATAAATTTATATATATATATAGTAAATTATCCATTTGACACCTGACGAGAAGTTTATACATACTAAATATAAATTTTGAAGTATTATTTTCAACCCTATTAATCAAAAAATTTATTATCTAATGATAAACCCAATGATGAAGTTTCAACAATTTGAATTTCTGATTATTGAAGCAGTGAGAAAAGCATCAAGAAATTCATCATAATTATAATTTCGATATTGAAATACTCTCAAACAGAAACAATTTCAATTGTCACTGAAAATTATGAAAAAATAAAATCAAACACTTTCGAGTACAGCATGCATCAAAGATAATGTTCACGAACGCATGTTATGCACACATATAGTAGTTTCATCTCGACGCGTTTGCATAAGGTTCTTTTGTAATTTCAATTTCACGGGCCGCCAATGAGCCGGCCGTCAGCTTTTCGCGCCCTGCCACTGTCACACGTAAGCCCTGAAGCTAAACTGCAGTAGCAAAATGCTCGCGCTTGTGCCGCGACAAAGGAGAGATTGAGATCAAAAGAGTTTACCAGATAAATAGTTGTGGTTTGATTAAACTACGCTATTATTGCGATTGTGGCTTTCGATATTGCGAATAGTTAGTTTTTTTAAACATTAATATATCAATTAAATACGAAAATCTATTCAGAATAAAATTAAGCTTATTTCATTACTAACTATCAAAAATAAAACATTTTTATAGAAATCAAAGATTGATCTTATACGTGATTCTCTATTATTTTCTTATTAATATATTTTTGAATGAAATTATAATTAATTATTAAATTCAGATAATTTATTATATATTACGTAAATCAGATTGATTGTGGAAATATTTCGAAATGTGCCCTCTCTAACTTAAAATACGTATTATTATGATCCGATACAAATTTAATTCTATTGTGATATATCAACGAACTTTAATAGTGATTGTAAGCTTGCAGCACGAACTAAATGAGAAGAAGTTTCATTTAATACCATCGAATATCTAATTCACAAAATCTTGTAATTAAGATATATTGAGCACACGTTGCTTCAGAAAGAATCTCCATTCATTTTACTTTCGCTACTCACATGTGCTATAAATGTCCGAAGAGCTTCCAGATCCAAAGACTAACGCAAAAGAATCCACAATGATGCCCTAATCACATCTTCTCTCAACAAAAGAGAGTAAAAAAAGAGAAGCTTCGCGAAAGACTTCTCTCTGAAACAAAATCAAGAGCAGCAAGCGTAAAAGCGCTTGGTGCCGTTTATAACAAGCCGCCCGCGGCAGTTGAACGTATATATGCAATCACGGCATAGCTTAAGGGGATGGAAAGAGGCGAGGTGGCTCTTGACGCTTCTATGCGACAAAGGGAGTTCTGCCACAAACGACTGGACCAAGCCAAGCGGCTTTCTACCTGGGCGTAAGAGTGAGAAAGCTTTTGAGCAAGCTTTTCCGTAGCCGCGAGCTTTCAATTTTCTCGCGAGATCTTGACTAAGAGAGAACTGCGGTAATGGAGAAGTGCGTTTTTGCTACGTTTGATCTTGTGGCTTTCGTTACCGCTTGCTTTTCTTATATACTGCGCTACACGTTCAGGCTGATCAGATTTTATTGTGATTTTCTTAATTAATACTAATGCTTTTCGCAAACTACTAGATCGGTTACATGCTTAGTTACACGAAAAGGATTTTGATTCGTTTATAAATTAGAGATTTATTATAAATCATTTTGGGAAAGAACGTGAATGTAGATTGAAGATTATTACATATTCTATCTATTAGATAATTTATGTATTTAAGATAATACATAAGTTGATGTTATTTTTTTAAAGTTATTCCTAAAAAATGTATGGATCGATCAATTAAGAATAAGAGAATATATGATAACTGAATGGTATAAAATTTAGAATAAACAACATTTTTTAATAAAGTATATCTCATTGGACTCTAAAAATATGACGTTCGATAGTTTCGCTTTGTCGTTAATAATAGCTGAAATCATAATCAGAAGGAAAATTAATTAATCGAATCAAATAATAAATTCTCAATCAGTTACAGGTAATAATTTCTAGTAATGATCAAGCGTATGTCTTTCCACATTGTGTTGTGAGCATTAAATAGTTATGGTTGCAACATATAATTATATAAATGTTGATAATCCTAATTATACACTTCATAAATAAAAGTAGAATCCTGTTTTGTAATAAAAATTCTGGAAATAATGGAAAAGCTTTTATGAAATTTGCAAAAAAAACTTGTAAATTATTATTATTTTTCTAATTAGATCCATTAATAAAGAACTAATTGATCTATAAAAATGGAGTCACTTGGTAATAGCCACATAGTTAATGGTTTTTAAGAATCATTTAATCTTCCATCTCATAAAATCACAACCCACAAGGACGAAAAAAAATAAGTAGAACCCCATCGTTAAGCATTAATAACGCATATCTTAACGAGCAACTCTATGATTCAAGAGCGAGGCTCGCAATCAAAGCGTAACGCGACAAAAAATAAAAAGAAAATTGTGTGAAGAAGTGATAACTCACCCTGTCCAGGGGCCGGCGACGTGGCGTGGCTCCAGCCGCCCTTGTACGAACTACTTGCATCTGCAACATAAACAAAAAAGCGTTAATTAGATTCCCGGGGGCGTTCTTAGCTCGTACATCCTTCTTGATTTTCATATTATGGAGTTTAGGTGTTGGGATTGATGATAGCATTTTTTGGTATGATGAGCTCGTCAACTTTTTTTCTATTCTTCGATAACTGGATAGCTAGTGTAAGCTTCAGTTTGATAGGAACGATTATAACTTAAGCTAATAACTTAATTCATTCATTTTATGGCTTATGACACATTTCGGCAGGATATGTGTCGAGACCAATTTTAGTTATATGTTTAGAACTGTCAATCAAAATTCCAATCATGTTGACACCAAAGAGACAGAAATTTCTTTTTTCAATTGACATTAACACTGACATTATCACTAATATTACTATGAAATTACACGTTAATGCTACGATTCAAATTTTAGTGAAACTAGTAGTTCACATTGTAACCGTTGCAATTTTTCCATGCAACAGTAAATTCTACTGTGACCGAAGAGAAATCCCTTGCTAATCGCGAATGTCAACAAGAGGTCCAGGTCAATATGTTTTCTTTTTTCCTTCGACGAAGGGTCGACACGAGCAATCGTCGTATATATAAAAATGAAGGAGCCTGCTTTTGGGAAGCCAATGTTGCGCTATTCTTGGAAGCGATTTTTTTTATTGTCCTCGCTTCGTCGACTCGTCCCCTTATTCTCCACGTCACAAGACGGGCGCGCACACGCGCACTTGTTTTGCCGACGACCTTTCCCTTTTCACGATCTATCTCGACTTCTCTTTTTCACTTGCTGCACATATTATGTGACGCGCGAGGGGGATTCTATTTTTCGAGATTGCGAGGCTCATGATTTTGTCAATTTTGAGAAAAGTTCAAATAGTTCTGAAAATGACTCTTTATCTTGTTGCACCAATTATTTATCCGTTAAAAATTGTCAAATAAATTTAAATAAATGAATGCACGTAGCTCACTTAAAGAACCTCCTTTAATTGTTTATAGTTCCATCAATCACAGTACTTACCTCAAATACTAATATTTTGTTGCAATCATTCACAATGTAACGATATATGTACCGTGTCACTGTGTATTTATATGTACGGTATGCTTCTAAAAACAAATTGTAGTCGATATATAGTTGCAACCTAGGTGTTCGTTGTTTTGTAATTTTGAAAAAATGTTTCATTTATTTTGAAGGTTTATTTCTCAGTTTTTTCATATGAGCTTTTGTAGAAAGAATTAAGAGACTAGTCATATATAATTATTTACTACATGAATGACAGAAATATTGAAATGAATGTTCATTTTGATACTATTTAACTCTGTATAAGATTAGTGTGAAGAAAACACACACGTATAAATAAAGTTCATGTTGTTAAGTTATCAATTAGGTGGATCAAACAGCAATTTTCAACTGTCTCTTTAACAAAATTATTTTTAATCGTTTAAAATATGAAGTTGAATATCTATATATGATTAACTATAGCAGAATACATATGGATATAGCTAATAAAAATTACTATTCTTCATCTACCACATACGATGAATATTTAATAAAAAGCAGACAGCAAATAATATTCGCTTTAATTGCAGCAGTAAATAAATAATTGCAGTTATCGCAACTTCCAAATGATTACTATTATAAGTAATTTCTGAGCATCTAGCTACGAAATATTTCAATCTTCGATAAAATGACAGTATTGAACAATCGTTTTATATGTACATTACATAAGTGGAGATTTAAGAACTCTCTATACATTTCCATATCTGTCTTGAAATTCAACACGAGGACATAAAATTGAAGACGATGTCTCGCAATTTAGATCATTCATTGTTTTACTTGCGACGCACTTGCGATGCGATCGCACAACACGTACGGAACCAAGTTGTTTGCCGACAGATATATTTTCATTTGGCAGTTATTGGCATCGCACGGCAACTATAGTAGCAGCAGCCCCTGTGCCGTGTGTTTGCCCTGTGCGAGAAACCCGTCGGCCGTCGGCAAACAGACCAAAGCGCCGCAGTCCATTAATGAAGCCTCGGATTTCACGTTTCCGTGTTTAATGCACACACATAGACACGAGTATGTGTGTGCTGGATTGACTATTTTTGGGGTGGAAAAGTAGGAAAAAGTGAGTGAGAGATGTCGTGGATTAAGAGACGATCAATGAGTGTTTTGTTTGCTGATTGGTATACCATGATCCGTGCAGAAATTCTTTTGTTCTTATATACAAGAGGAAGCTTAGCCTTATGGATTTTTGATATTTTGTTTAATGTTTCCAAAAAAATTTTGCTAGTTGTTGTCTTAAGACTGCACTTAAGAATTTTAATTTAATTCTTGATCTAATGTACGTGTTAAATCATTTTTAAATATTTACATGTAGTATTTATAAAAAATCATTAAATATAACATTCAGAAATTTATTATCATTTCATGTATGAAGTAATATAGTTATAATGAAAGTTTGTTGCGTTACATCTATCGGCTGGTACGTGCACTAAATTAAGAGTGATATTGATCTAACACTCTGAGAAAGCTATTGAAATTGATATATCTTATATTTATTTGTTTATGGAAACAATACATCAATTTAAACAACAAGGCGTATCTCGATCGCGAAATTTATTGACAAACAGGGGATACCAGTGGTTGCAGTAAAATATGGTTGCCGTCGCTTGAGTTACCAACCCCTCGATTCATTCGGCTGAATCACATGGCATAAATGCCTAATTTGAATGCGTAAATTAGCCTGTAAAGCACCAATGTTTTACACGTAATAATTTATTTACATTTTATTTCTGAGTATTATGCAGGCGCGAATGAAAACAAAAATATCGTGAAACACGCGAGTCGCAATTGGATCGGGTGCTCTGACTACAGTCACACCAAATGTAAGATAAATATAAAATCTTGAGCGTAGAAGAGGAATTAAAAGTAAAAAATTTGATGAAAGAACGTACCGGCGAACAACATTGATAAATTGGTGAAAGCAGTGCTGCGCGGTAACTCGGCAGCGGTGGTGCCGCTGGCCTTGAGGTCCAGCATATCTTGCTGGCCCCGACCTTAAAACCGCGCCGATCAACTCGATCGACACGTGCTCCCACCTCCTCTCTTTGCTGACGAAAAAATCCTTAAGTCTCTCTCTCTCTCTCTCTCGCTTTTCCAACTTTATTCACTCACAAAGAACACTTCATAATCTTAGCGTCGCAAAATGCCTTTGCAAATGTATTTGCGGGCAGCACGGAGCCGCGCGCGGCGCGACGTGCGGGAAACCGAAAAAATCCAAAACCTTTCGCCAACGTTGGTGTTTACTGCTGGACGAGCGGTTATACAGTGAAAGAGAGAGACTCGCCCTCCTGATGTCGAAGCAGACGACGACGAAACCCCCAGCAGCAGCAACGCCGACGCCCCCATCACGTAGGCGGAGCTTTGGAAATCCCGAAGAGCGAGCGAGTTGCGCAGCGCCTGCGCCCTTCAGGAAATTGTTTTAATTTGGCCGCTTTCGCGCAGCGGCAACTACCACCACTGCCACCAGAACGCGAGCGAGAGAGAGAGAGAGAGAGAGAGAGAGAGAAGGACAGATCTCAGAGTGATGAGCGAGGAAGGAAGGAAGGAAGGGGAAATTTTTTTTCCTCTCTCGTTTTTTCTTTTTTTTGCGCGATGCCCGTTTTTCCAACCGGATATTCGCTCGCGAGGTTTTGCTCTTCCTCATTTTCACCTTATTTTTTTATTCTTCTTCGGTGCAGATTTTTGCTCTTGAGTGATTATTGGATCGCTATGGGAAGTATAAGGGACGATCTTTTAATTTTCAATTTTTGAGATACACGAGTGAAATGATCGAATACTTGTTCGAGATCGATAAGCCAGTAGAGAGTCTTTTATCAAAGTTACCTCTGATTGATCGTTTGTAGTTTAACGAATGAAACATTCGATCTATCGCTTCACTTATGTTTAATTATAAAAATTTTGTAGTTAAACGCATCCACACCGATATCGAAAGCTAAACCGCAGTACCTTTCTCTTCGCGCTTATCATAATATGATATGATGACCATTATTATGGAATGAATACGAATCGCATTACTCGAAACGCTTTAAAAACTCAATCTTCCTTTTAAATTGTTGTTCTCAATACTTCCACAAAACGCATAATCATCGAAAGCTTTGCAGCCATCTGAAAAACAATACAAAGTGCGTCGTGCTAAAAAAAAAAAAGAAGGCAGCCTCGCTGTCTCGAAATAAAGACCAGGGCAGGCAAGTGGCTATCGTTCACGACCCCCGGTCGCGCATTAATTAAGCGCTGTGATTCACGCTGAGCCGAGCCCGGCCACGCTGCTGTCTGCAGCCGTCGATCGGCCTGATTGCATCGCTTGGCGCGTGAACGAGTGCCACACGAGTGTCCGTGTGTGTATATGCGTACATACTTGAACCAAGACGAAAAAGGGTCGTAAGTGTTTTCTAGTCGTGTAAGGCACGTGAGAGATATACGTATCGCGCTTATTTGCCGCGTTTGTTTGATTTGATCGGCGCCAACCAATACAACCAGCACGGTAGTGGGATGTATCACATTCGCAGGACGAATATTTACAGCGCGTATGCAGATTGGGAACCATTATTTTTAACGTTCGTGGAATAGCGAGTCGTGGTCCCGCTCGATAATGGGCAAAATGTATATGGAACGTAAACAACCTATCGACGACAAGCGGTGTCTTGAGCTCGCGTATAAAACATAATCGACTGCCTCGGAAAACACGGCCCATTGACTCGCGGTCCGAAGGGAATGATTTATCAACGATTCTTTCTCACCGTGCGCAACCCCGGGTGCACCTCAGCGCCACCATTAATCACTGGATTTTTCACGCTAATTGCGCCTCTATCACAACAAAAAATCATTCCCACCAACTCAGAAATCTCAGACATCGGACAAAAGTGAATTTCAGCCGAGGATTTATGGCGCGCAGAGAGAGAGAGAGAGAGAGAAAGGGCGCTCGAGAGCGATCGCGCGTTAAA